TTAACTCATTAAATAGTGTTTAACGGAAATACAGTTGAAAGTTGAAAATCTCAGTTGAAAAGCCATTCAAGACATTTAATGAAGTGACAAAACAAGGATTCGGTATACTGTGTGTCCGAGGGCCAGGGTGCCCATGTTAAACTGCGGCATGGTATCTCAGGACCCTAGCACTATAAAACCATCATTAGTCCGGATAAGTGCAAGCTAACACACTGTAACGTTATGATTCCCAAATTGAACTAATATGTTAACCCAGAAATCTGTACGTAAAAATGCTTATTGTGAAACCAACAAACAACCAACAAATGGTATACAATTAACAATTGTGTTACAAAATTAACTTGGTAGAACAATATTCTATGGCAATATATAATATGATGTTAGCGGTCAGTATCAAATACAAAAATACAGTGGTGATAGCAATAGTCAGTGATAATAATATTTTCACCCAAAAGCGACAGTGGGCAAATGTGTGAGAGATAGAGATATCCCCTAATATACAGTCCAACTAGCTACTGGAAATTTCCACACAGTGCCATCACAACATAGAATATTCTACATGTTTCTATAACTGTCTATCACAGTCCACGATATTCCGAAGTTTCACATCTAAGCACAGCAACCTCCTCAAAACTGCTGACATTAAACAGTACTACATTTCCGACAACCAATCACTGTCCAAAAACAATGCAATTGTTCAACAAGAAAATACACTGAAATTTCCACACAGTGCCATCACAACATAGAATATTCTACATGTTTCTATAACTGTCTATCACAGTCGACGATATTCCGGAAGTTTCACATTTGCATCTAAGCACAGCAACCTTCTCAAAACTGCTGACACTTTTCACCTCACCTTACTATACTATTGTAAACAATAACATATATACAACCTCAACGCCAGTGAATTATAACATGTCTTGATTATCCAACCAAACAGATTCCATACAGTCCGCTCTCGCTTTTTCGTGAGATTTGGTAAAAATAGTAAAAATACAAATATAGTTCGGTAACTTTACTAAATGAGGCCATTTCTCAACCTTCATCCTTAATCTCATAAATAAGCATTTATTCCATGTACATGTGTATGTATGGCAGTTTAATGTGACACAAATCCAGGCTCCCTGACCACAAAAACAAGTAAGTGATCCCTTATAGTCGCCACATTTTGTGTGACACAAATCCAGGCTCCCTGAGCACAATAACAAAAACGTGATCCCTTATAGTCCCACATGTTGTGTGACCCAAATCCAGGCTCCATGACCACAATAACAAGTAAGTGATCCTTTATGTCGCCGTGTGTTGTGTGACACAAATCCAGGCTCCATGACCAAAATAACCAAAAAGTGATCCCTTATGTCGCCACATGTTGTGTGACACAAATCCAGGCTCCATGACCACAATAACCAAAAAGTGATCCCTTATAGTCCCACATGTTGTGTGACACAAATCCAGGCTCCATGACCACAATAACAAAAAGTGATCCCGTATAGTCGCCACATGTTGTGTGACACAAATTCAGGCTCCATGACCACAATAACAAGTAAGTGATCCTTTATGTCGCCACGTGTTGTGTGACACAAATCCAGGCTCCATGACCAAAATAACCAAAAAGTGATCCCTTATATCGCCACATGTTGTGTGACACAAATCCAGGCTCCCTGAGCACAATAACAAAAACGTGATCCCTTATAGTCCCACATGTTGTGTGACCCAAATCCAGGCTCCATGACCACAATAACAAGTAAGTGATCCTTTATGTCGCCACGTGTTGTGTGACACAAATCCAGGCTCCATGACCACAATAACCAAAAAGTGATCCCTTATAGTTGCCACGTGTTGTGTGACACAAATCCAGGCTCCATGACCACAATAACCAAAAAGTGATCCCTTATGTCGCCACACGTTGTGTGACACAAATCCAGGCTCCATGACCCGCAATAACCAAAAAGTGATCCCTTATAGTCCTCACATGTTGTGTGACACAAATCCAGGCTCCATGACCACAATAACAAAAAGTGATCCCTTATGTCGCCACGTGTTGTGTGTTCCTCTTTAAGTGTAACTTACTTGTCCCCTCTTTTTCACTGAAGTCCGTCCACTGAAGTTACAAGAAGCAAGTAAAACTGCTGTCGGCGGAGAAGTTCAGTAGCACCACACACGATTTCGCCGAAAATAATTTAAACAATATCAAAAGGAATTTTGAATAAAATTAAATTATGAAATATGTTACAAACATAAATCCAGATATACAACGAATGTGTTTTTTTGGGGAAAAGTGCGCACTATACTCAAGAAAATACGGTACATGTTTTGCTTCTCCACACGAAACAACTGAAGCAAAAATAATGTCACACTACCCAGGATGATGTTATGAGTATGAGTGAGTGAGAGGGGTTTTACGCCGCTTTTAACAGTATTCCAGTTATATCACGGCGTGTTAGCTTAATGTGGGAGGAAAGCCCGAAATGATGCAGGTCTCAGACGTTTACCAATTCGGTGAAACCCACGAGCACGGGTATGGTGCTGACAAAGATAGAAACATAATCAGGGCGAACCGGAATTGGAACCCACAATCATAGATTTCTGGCGTGCCCAAGGGACACAACTCTGCAAGCGAATCGCGGCGCCTTAGACGACTGGGCCAACCGTGCCCCCCTTTGATCCTAGGAACCAGACCGGGTTTGGGTGAAGATAATCAGAGAAGCCAGCCACTTGCCATCCGGTAATAATCGTGATCGGGTTGTTTTGATAACAATATTATTTTGTCATAAAGAAAGTGGTACAACCATGGACAAAATACGTTCCGAGGCGTATTTTTTGTATATTTTTCGGGATGGTTTAACTTGTGTATACCTATTTCGCAGCAGTAAAGCAGGGTGAGTGAGCATGAGTTTACGCCGCTTTCAGCAAGATTCCAGCAATATCACGCCGGAGGACACCGGAAATGGGCTTCACACATTGTACCCATGTGGGGAATCGAACCCGGGTCTTCGGCGTGAAGAACCAACGCTTTAATCACTGGGCTTCCCCCTCGCCCCCATAGCAGTAAAAAACGTTATTATATGTTATTGTTCATATTCTGATATATTTATTAGATATAATGACTTTTCAAAGGAAACATTTAATATCTTCCCTATGGCCTGTTGGTAATCAGTGTTCCAGATAACAAACAAGGAAAAGATTTCAATGCTTGAAACACCAAAAAAGAAGCTCTTTAAAAAGCAACAAAGAAAAACGCACGTTCACAACCGAGTTTTAACACTGCTTAAGGGTATATTTTAAGAGTGTTGTTGATTGCTTTATGTAAGTAAGTTATCCTATCTTCTGTAACCATTCAGTACTCAACCGCCTCGTAGCACACGCCATGAAACACCACTTAAGTATATCCCAATAATAGAACTAATAACCTGCACAAGGGCGTCCCCTGCAAACTGGGGTTAAGTACCTATATAGACCCAGGGTAAAGTAATAACATTAAACCGATGCAAAGTAAACACCATCTTTAAATGATCTTCTAACAAAGCTTAGTGTAGGTAGTCGCCTTGCCACTGCTATGTTGATGAGTCAAGGTTTAGCAATGTGGCGATTTGACAGCAACGCTTGCAATAAAGTCACGTCAAGACACGCATAAGTAATACAACCATGGGCGTGACAAGAGCTCCGGTACGCACACCTAACATTTCCGTGTTGGGTATTTCATTTCTCCAATAACGCGTTCATATTGATTGGAAATGTCAATAACTTACGATAAGTTTGTCAGTGTAGAGAGAAAGAGCATTGTTAGCAATAAACGCCCGAGCTTTGCATTCACAACACTCCGGGGTCGCTTCTCGTGCTGTGTCAATATTAAACCTCAAATACGACGCAATTATCACGGCGGTCAAAATGGAAGTACTTGGTTCAGAAGGAGCGTGTTGCATTCTGATGCTGTCTTTGTTGGCATAAACTGGAAGTGAGTTAAAGGTTAAGGAAAGTACTAGAAACTTGGCTAGATATTGAGAGATGGGGATGACTTCTCGTCAGTTGGGTCCAGTGTCAATAACGCTTACACGAAAATGACTTGTCTGTTTGCTTTCTTGCTCCTGTTGAAACAGGAGTTTTAATGGCGTATATGGCCAGTAAAACGATTCACGTTATAATATTGCGGTAAAGTTGTAAGAAAACTATTTTTTTTACTTTTAACTTCGATGGATTGATTGGTGGTGCCTTTTCCCCCAAAAGCTAATTTCCTTAAGGTGATGAGGAACTAACATGTCTCCGTTTGATTGATTGCTGTATCGAACTCATAGAAATTATTCAACAAATCGGAAGTGCATTAAAATGCGTTGGTGGCCTTCCAGGCAAAGACGTCATGTGTCCATTGACCAGGAACCTACTAAAATATATGCGGCGAGGTAACAACTTCAACTATACTACCGGACAAAAGAAAGTATTCACCCATGTTTCATGATGGCTATGGTTATTCGACGCTGGTGTATTTGATACGAGTATCATAAATGTGTTTTGGACCTTAAGTTTGCAGTGTTTTCAAACCGTTTTCAGCCCTGTAACGTTTTCATAACGTTGGCAATTTTTGGTCAATTCCAATTTTCAAGTGTACATACACTTTTTTGGCCCGACAGTTAAAATAATTTACTATTAATTAGTCCAGTAAATGAAAAAGTTGGGGAATACTGATATTCGCATGAAGCTTTTTTTCAATTTATAGGTCATGGTTGCCTTCAGTGTGTATACGTTTGGCATGTGTGGGCGTGACCGCATCGCTGGGACCACTACAATATAATGTATCATGTTTCCATGTCAACCAGACAATTTTATCTTGACCTATATGTTCTGATAACCTTATAGTTCTGATGCCAAGTATATAAACTTCATTTCATTTAGGACGTTGGGACAACTATGACAGCTATTTTGTACAAAAAAGAATGACTATTTTCAAAATAAAATAATTTGAAACATGTTGGGTTAATTCTAAGCAAACAGCAACAACACAATTTTCAGTTTTTAAATATTTTTTTTATTTCTTTATGTGCCAACAAAACATGTCTGCCTCACAGACTGTGACGATGCTAACACCAGTATTATGCTCGAAGGTCATGTTCCTCAACAGTACGATTTTCAGTATGCTCAAAGACTTTATCAGAAACAATATGATACAGTGTCGTAACTTAATGTTTAGCGAAAGTAGTCAAGTATGGAGCCACTAATTTCTCTTGTCATATCACACGATTACGTGTTCCAAAGTGGATGCATCACTTGAATAGAAGATGCTGCTGCATAACTGAGTGATGGTAATTCAGTTAATGTCATTGCATGACAACTGAAATATAGAGGTTAGTGGGTTGGTGCCATTAAGTTCAAAATGGGTCTGAACAAAAGTGGCCAATGGGGTGTACACACTCTCACCACAAAGCTGACAGTCAATAAGTTTGATCAGAGCTGAAAGTTATCTGTCCCTCATGACAACCCAGCTTGGGACTCTCCCTGCTCATATGTCCTTGAGACAATTTATCTTGGGACTATTCATGCGTAGTTGTCATTTGGGACCATACAATTCCTGCTAGATTTGTCTCTTTTGAAAAGCAAGCTACCATGACCAGTTGCGGAAGGGAAAGTAAATGTGAGAGTTGTAAGAAGACAATTAATAGTACTTCTTGGTTCACTGCAAGCCTCAATGATGGCCACTGTAAGCCTAATAGAACCTTGCATATCTACTGATGTTCATTACCAGCACTGCGGTGTAGATTGCACCAGAGTCAGTGATGCACGAGGGGACTATCAATGTCAGTTCACGACACCAGGTTGTTAATAACAGAATAGTGTTCATTGCAATGACTCCCTTACAATGAATGCAGTTAGTTCCAGCAAGCTATCAAACATGTTAATGTCTACATCGGAAACAGTATAAAGATAGACAGTTCACTGGATCAATAACACCATATTCAACTCAAAAGGGAACTGGAAAAAATTGATGGTCGATTTATTGTTGAACACGTTAAAATAATTCTTCAGAAATTTGGATGTAAATGAACAGGAGAAGTTATATGACATTGAAGTTACCACAGCTATTGAAGTTACCACACCTAGAGAAAACTACTTGTTTACTTTTAAGACTGATAAAATACTATAACACATGTGTAACATGTCCTTACTAAGGATATTGGCAGTAGTCTCCCATCTTATCCAAACGCATTGTTTTCTTTTCATTCTTGTGGTTCACATCACCTAAAACATCGTCATTTCATATTGCAGAAAATGACTTAATTTTTAAAACTTCAAAAGTCCAATTCAAAAACCCATTACATATTCAACTTGTTAACAATGTACAGGTGATATTTTGGCAAATGAGTTCCACTTTTAATTGACAACCAACCCCACTTTTAAAACTTTAGGTAATTTGAAACTTCAAAAATGAAAAACAAGCCCATAGCAATGATCTAATTCATATACATTGTAAATATTTCAGACTAAAGTACTACTCAAGTAACATCAAATATATTCAATCTGACATACAGATATTAAAAATTCTGTAGTTAGTATCTGTTAAAACTTGATGAGAAAATGACAGGTATGAAACATTCAGTCATCCCAATCACAACACGGAACAATGCTTCCACTCTCATTCATATAACACAGTTTAATACACTAAATGTATATTTGGCTTAACAAACACACTGATAACCACAGAAATGAATATTTCAACATTTCACAACATCTCCTGGCACTACAGAAGTCTGTGTACCAATGGCCACTGAAATAAATATAAACAATTCACAATCTCAAACAGATTTAAACAATTTTTTTTTCCGTTTCTTAATATTTTGAAATGTGACTGATATTGATCATAAACACTACCATTGATACAACTCATATTTGTTACATTTGTGTTGCCATGGAAACAGTCATAAGATAACAGAATTTAATATCCAGAACTATCTTGATTACATGTAAGAATTTGAAACATAAAAGTATTTTCTATATGATCCCCCTTTTTGTAAATAATATCTCTTTCTATGGAATTCAACTGGGATTATTTTTGCTATTTCAAAACATGTTACTGCCATGAACAATAATCGTGCATGACTTATGTTTAAATATCATACCTCCAAACTTATTAGTGAACTTGTTGTTACATCCAGCGTTGGTTTACCTTACGTTTCATCATTACATTTCTTTCTCAATATAAATAAAATGTCAGTGCTGAAGAATAACCTTCTTTATCCATCTCGATTATCTGCCGAAATAGATTCCAGATTCCTAAAACCCATGTTTTCAACAGTGACACTGTCAATATCTGTTCTGCTGATGCTCTTTCTGGTTCAACATATATTACTCTTCCCCCTCATACAATGTCAAACAAATTGTCCTCTCAGGCTCAGGTACAGATTCAAATACAAATCTGAATGTAAACCTTTCATTATGTCATTCCATGTGGCACTTTCACTATCAAGACATACAAGACCTGCTCGGGTTCTCTGTGGTTAGCTTACTTTCACATTGATGGCAGTTCTCAAGCATATATGTTAACAAAATGAAGCATGTCCTGAGCATGAATAAGATTGGTCAAATCTATGAGATCACTGTAATGCAACTGATAGCTGATTAGCATGACATATAGCTGAAGACTATATACATAATGGTAAGTTCCATGAAACTCTTGAAGAATGGCAATATGTACCAGTCCAACCGTGGCACTTCCTGTTCATCCAAATTCAGCACTTCCCATTTGTCCATATTCGGGCAATGTTCACTTCTCAATGACCCAGGTTTGTCAAGAGGGTCTACATGCTTCATGACTATGTCCATATTTAACTGGTGCTTCTTCTTCATTTAGACCATGAATGTTTCAAAGAAACATGGCAACATCTACATCTGAAACTGAGGATGGCAGGGTCTAACATTTTTTAAACATGTCAATCTTTACGTCCATGGAGAAGTCCATATGGTTGAAACATGTCAATCTTTACGTCCATGGAGAAGTCCATATGGTTGAAACATGTCAATCTACAAGTCCATTTGAGAAGTCCATATGGTTGAAACATGTCAATCTACAGGTCCATTTGAGAAGTCCATATGGTTGAAACATGTCAATCTTTACGTCCATGGAGAAGTCCATATGGTTGAAACATGTCAATCTTTACGTCCATATGGTTGAAACATGTCAATCTTTACGTCCATGGAGACGTCCATATGGTTGAAACATGTCAATCTTTACGTCCATGGAGAAGTCCATATGGTTGAAACATGTCAATCTTTACATCCATGGAGAAGTCCATATGGTTGAAACATGTCAATCTATAGGTCCATTTGAGAAGTCCATTTGGTTGAAACATGTCAATCTTTAAGTCCATGGAGAAGTCCATATGGTTGAAACATGTCAATCTTTACGTCCATGGAGAAGTCCATATGGTTGAAACATGTCAATCTTTACGTCCATGGAGAAGTCCATATGGTTGAAACATGTCAATCTTTAAGTCCATATGGTTGAAACATGTCAATCTACAGGTCCATTTGAGAAGTCCATTTGTGCTAACCTTCATGGTAAAGCCAAAGCTTTGAGGTGCGAGAATGTTGGTATATTCTTCAAAGATTTGAAGGGAACATGGTTTTCTGGTTCACACTGTTGAAAAATATATAATGTCGATATCCTTTGTTCCAAGTGAAGGAGGTGTTCTCCAGAATCTCCATTTCCTAAGTCATGCCCAGTAGATTACTGACACCTTCCACACTGAAGAGGCTCCACAGAGGCTGATTACAGACAATCATGTACAGTAGAGAAAAGTCCACTAAGCACAAGACAACATGTCAATGTCATCACATGTCCAACATGAACATCAAAATAAACAAACTTCGTCCATTGAACACATGACACATTTTTTTTAAAACAGGATGACTGTAGATTCCTGTGTTAAACACAGTCACACACACACACATATATATATATATATTTATATACTATGATGAAACACTGAAATGCTGTGAGGCTGAATCAATCACTTGTCACTATATACAGAGATGTACATTTCACAATGTCAATAGACTGAAATAGATGACAATATTTATGTAAGTGAGACACACAGAAGTCTACTAAAATGACACGTGAACATGTCCTTGTATTTTGACATGCAGCATTGTCTGCCTACTCGGCATAATGTTGGATTCCACATAGACTATCCCTTGTGCATGGCTCATGCATGCTCGTGTACCTTTTGACAGCATATCAAGTACATGCTCTTGAATATTTCAATGTCAAAGCTTGTTTGTACCCTTGTATATTTCCTTGTACGTGCCTTGTATCATTTCATGACTAGCCTTGTATTTCATGAGAGACTCATACATGCCTTGTATATTTCCATGGTTTGGCTTGTACATGCCTTGAATATTTCCATGGCTTGGCTTCTACATGCCTTGAATATTTCCATGGCTTGGCCATGCCTTGAACATATGTTGTATATTCCCATGTTTTGGCTTATACATGCCTTATATGTTTCCATTGCTTTTCTTGTACACACCATGTATATTTCCATGGTTTGGCTTGTACATGTCTTGTAGGTTTCCATGGAATGGCAAGGATGTTTCGAAGAATCTGTATCAAGCCGCCAATAGAAATATTTGATGACAGTGCAAAATAAATCATTTATATACATATACAACTCACACACACGTAACACTGTTTGAAACATGCGGTCTTGGAGCATGTCAATATCTGATCAAGTCTTCGTGTTCCAGACCTCATCAGCATGTTCTTCAGTTCACTGTATACGTAGCACTTAAAACACTTGTATCCACAATCACAACATCGTACAAGCTGCTCCTCCTCCTCGTCCTGATGCTTCTTGACGCTGTGCCAGTTGCTGCAACAAGTAGGTGTTTTAGCCAGGTAGGAAACTGCCATGGAGTCCACACATGTTGGTTTAACTTCATCCAATCAGAATATGACTTCATATAGCGTGGCTTTCTTGTCACCGGAGCCAGTAACGATGTACTTGTCATCAGCTGATATGTCACAACTCAACACAGAGGAAGACTCCTTGGACTGAAACAAGAGTGCAATACATATTTTATATAATAACAAAATACATAATCCTTCCTTCATATATACCAAATGAAACCTTTCTTACACGTATGAAATATAACACTGATCTAAACCCATAAAAAGAATTGATTGACACACATAATGTGAACCTTGATTAAAAAGCATGAAATGAAACTCTGACCTAAATACATGAAATGAAACCTTGACTAAAACACATGAAATGAAACCCCGACTTAAACACACCAAATGAAAGACTGGCTTAAACACATGAAATGAGACCCTGACCTAAACACATGAAATGAAACCCTGACCTAAACACATGAAATGAAACCCTGTCTTTAACATATTAAATAAAACCCCGACCTAAACACATGAAATGAGACCCTGACCTAAACATATGAAATGAAACCCTGACCTAAACACATGAAATGAAACCCTGTCTCTAACATATGAAATGAAACCCCGACATAAACACATGAAATGAAACCCTGTCTTCAACATATGAAATGAAACCCCAACTTAAACACATGAAATGAGACCCTGACCTAAACACATGAAATGAAACCCTGTCTTTAACATATGAAATGAAACCCTGACTTAAACACATGAAATGAAACTCAGACCTAAACAAATGAAATGAAACTCTGACCTAAACAAATGAAATGAAACCCTGTAAAAACAGTTTATTTTGAGATACAGACCACAGAGGGCCTACATATTGTGATAATATCGATGAGGGAGCACTTAAATGTTGATATGAGTACCCACAGTTCGTGTCCCTATACTCATCAGGACAGTAATGATCAATACATTAAATACTCAAAAAAACAAAACAATATGTGCCAATATTATCCAAAGTATTGACTGTCATAAAAACTAAAGATTTGTCGTGATGATGTGATGATGAATGTGATGATGTGATGATGGATGTATATGTGAAATGTTCTTGTTGTAGTGTAATGATAGTAAGTGTTAGCATGATCGTGTGCTGGCATACATGTGTGTGGTATTTCTGTTGATAAAAGTAAGTAATATTAAGTTGCCATTATATGCATACTTACTGCACTCTGACACATACCTGGAAAATACTTGCTCCATATGGCGTTCTCCATGCGTTGAGGAGATTGTCTTTACCCGTGCTAACGAACCACTTGCCACAGTAAGCAAACTTGAGAGAGAGGACACAGCTCTCGTGGAGATGAAGCTGGTACTTGTCTGGCTTGGACTGATGGAGCACCTCCACGTTGCTGCTCTCCATGCTGGCAAGTTAATGGGATTTAATAAAATCAATAAGGAAATTCAGTACAAATCACAAACTAAGGAAGATAAGAGGTCTTTGCAACACAAATGTCAGCTTGGGTTAGGAACAGTAAGTGCAGGGAGAGCTATGATTCAGGGGTTTAGTTTGGGGTTAGGGTTAGGAAGTGTTGTGGGAAGAATGTGTAGGGAGTGACCTTTGCAGCGAGACTTGGGTCACTTTCTTTGAAGGACTTTAGTGCCATGACTGTCCTACTTTCACATTAATTGATTGGGTGCTGGTTAAGTAATGTGATGGTTTTTGATCCGGGCAGTGGAATAGTTGAAGGAGTTGGGATACGTATGGTCTGAAGTTAGGGTCATATTCCGGGGTCAGAGGAGAAGGCGGCATGGTTATAGTTTCAGGTGAATAGGGTCAGGCTGATGTTTCAGTGAGGTGATGAGAGAAGGACTGGGTCTAAGTGAGGTGTTAAGGAGGGATTGGGTTTCAGTGAGGTGTTGAAAGAAGGATTGGGTCTGAGTGAGGTGATGAGAGAATGATTGGGTCTGAGTGAGGTGTTGGGAGAAGTATTGGGTCTAAGAGAGGTGATGAGAGAATGATCGGGTCTGAGTGAGGTGTTGGGAGAAGGAATGGGTCTAAGTGAGGTGATGAGAGAATGATCGGGTCTCAGTGAGGTGTTGAAAGAAGGATTGGGTCTGAGTGAGGTGATGAGAGAATGATTGGGTCTGAGTGAGGTGTTGGGAGAAGGATTGGGTCTGAGTGAGGTGATGAGAGAATGATCGGGTCTGAGTGAGGTGTTGAAAGAAGGATTGGGTCTGAGTGAGGTGATGAGAGAATGATTGGGTCTGGGTGAGGTGTTGGGAGAAGGATTGGGTCTGAGTGAGGTGATGAGAGAATGATTGGGTCTGGGTGAGGTGTTGGGAGAAGGATTGGGTCTGAGTGAGGTGATGAGAGAATGATCGGGTCTCAGTGAGGTGTTGAAAGAAGGATTGGGTCTCAGTGAGGTGATGAGAGAATGATTGGGTCTCAGTGAGGTGTTGAAAGAAGGATTGGGTCTCAGTGAGGTGTTAAGGAGGGATCGGGTCTCAGTGAGGTGTTGAGAGAAGGATTGGGTCTCAGTGAGGTGTTGAAAGAAGAATTGGGTCTGAGTAAGGTGTTGAAAGAAGGATTGAGTCTGAGTGAGGTGTTGAAAGAAGGATTGGGTCTCAGTGAGGTGTTGAGAGAAGGATTGAGTCTGAGTGATGTGTTGAAAGAAGGATCAGGTCTCAGTGAGGTGTTGAAGGAAGGATTGGGTCTGAGTGAGGTGTTGAGAGATGGATTGGGTCTGAGTGAGGTGTTGAAAGAAGGATTGGGTCTGAGTGAGGTGTTGAAAGAAGGATTGGGTCTCAGTGAGGTGCTGAGAGAAGGATTGGGTCTGAGTGAGGTGTTGGGAGAAGGATTGGGTCTGAGTGAGGTGTTGAAAGAAGTATTGGGTCTCAGTGAGGTGTTGAAATAAGGATTGGGTCTCAGTGAGCTGTTGAAAGAAGGATCGGGACTCAGTGGGGTGTTGAGGGAAGGATTGGGTCTCAGTGAGGTGTTGAGGGTAGATAGGGTCTCAGTGGTGTTCAAGGGATAGGGTATCAGTGGTGTTCAATGGATTGAAATCAGGGATGTTCAAGGAATAGGGTCTCAGGGCTGTTTCATGGATAGATCTCAGTGGTGTTCAAGGGATAGGGCATCAGTGGTGTTCAATGGATTGGAATCAGGGATGTTCAAGGGATAGGGTCCCAGGGCTGTTTCATGGATAGATCTCAGTGGTTGTGTTCAAGGGATAGATCTCAGTGGTGGTCAAAGGATAGGGTCTCAGGGGTGTTCAATGAATAGGTCTCAGGGGTGTTCAATGAATAGGTCTCAGGGGTGTTCAATGAATAGGTCTCAGTGGTGTTCAAGGGATAGGTCTTAGTGGTGTTCAAGGGGTAGGGTCTCAATGGGTGTCAGGTTGATTTCTGTATTTTAAGTTTGAATTTTATTAAAAACTCATATATACTGACTGCAACCAACAATATATGGACTTTTATAACAATATTGATTATTTCTGAACACCTTAAGAAATATATACCAACAAAAAAAATAATTCACAACTGGTCCTTTATTTATTCATCAAATACCTACCCAACAGCAAGCCACTCCCCTGTAGGGCAGTACCCCAGGGAGAAGATCTGCGACGTGAAGTCATGCTGCTGTAACTGCCGGCCCTGGGGACACATAGATTAGGTATGTTAACATCCATTAACATCATCCGACTAATATGGCCACAAATTCATAATGTGTTCCACAGATTTCTCTCAGGGTCAGACCATTAACCCAGCTAAATGTAATTACTTGACCTATCTTCCACCATCAGTCACAGGTGTGCAGGTGGATTATGTTTCTGATGTTGAGCTGTGACCTTGCCATTAGTTTTTCTAGGTGTACTTGGCAATCATTTGATGTATTTGGATACTTATAGTTCCACAACGTGTTTTCTGATTATTCTAGACTGCCTGTAAACCATGAATTTATGTACATGCTTAATTCTTGCCAAATTAGATTCTGAAATTGAACCTGTAAATGAAATTGTCAATAGTCATATCTGTAGCATGGGATCTCTTGTACATGATTGTATTGATTAATAATGTTGTGTGATACTGCTGTCCATCTCTAAACTTACAATAGCAACCGACATCCACACAACTTAAAAATAGCTGCAGAACTTGACACAAGTTTTCATCCACATACAGACGGCACATTATGAAAGATACTGCTTTGATAGACATTTAGAGTTTGGAAGAACATGAAACATTTATGGATAACAACTGCTTAATTGTTTGTAATGACTTTCACAGAATGATAATATCTTTTTGGCAGTTGATGGATAATAAGATGTGTATCAGGATTACAGAAGTGGTACCGACCTCCCTCAAGTCCCAGGATCGGACCGTGTTGTCCAGACCACCTGTCCAGAGTTTCGTTCCATCCGTGGATATGTCGATACAACTAGCGCCATCTGTGTGTCCTTGGAATTGCCTGAAATTTTGTTCACATATATTATTACATGCTATAAAAATATGAATTAATGGTTGATACTATGATCGTATTTTATGCATATATATTCACCACCTTCAATTAATGAAAGCACACCTTAGGGATGTGTTTGATTCTGACCTACTTGATTAGAATTTGGTTGAAGGTGTGTTTGTTTCCGACACACTTATTAATATTTTTCATTTTGTTTCTGGGTCTATTGTACTATTGTGCAATGAATAGAGATGATCATTTTCATTGAAAATGTTTACATTATGATTTGTTAAGCTATGTATTATTCCACTGAAAAAGATATCCTTTAAATCTCTTAAATGGTTGTCTATTTGTGGATTGCTTTCTTTAATCCACACATATATATCTATCTCTTCCCAGATATGATCATCTGATTTATTAATTGGTTCTTATGAGTAGATCCAAACCAGATCAAGCATATTGTAAATTTAATTCTTTCTGTCATATATGTCTTCAGGAAAGTTTGAAGGTCAACCGATTTTTTTTTTTTTTCTTCACATCCCCATTAAATATGACAACTGTCATTCACGTATTTACAAAGTTCACATAAACTATTGTCAACCATTTTCATTGTAAACAAGGTTTTTGTATATATAATTCTAAAGGAAGATCAACATTTCTGACTCACATAGCAAGAATCTGGAGGTGTGTTTGGTTCTGACCCACTTAACTAGCTACAGGTTATATGTGTTTGTTTCTGGTCCACTAACTATCATCCAGCTGCAGGTGTGTTGTGTTTGTTTGTGACTCACCTAACCAGTGTGTGGTTATGGCTGTGTTTGTTTGTGACCTACCTAACCAGTGTGTGGTTATGGCTGTGTTTGTTTGTGACCTACCTAACCAGTGTGTGGTTATGGCTGTGTTTGTTTGTGACCTACCTAACCAGTGTGTGGTTATGGCTGTGTTTGTTTGTGACCTACCTAACCAGTGTGTGGTTATGGCTGTGTTTGTTTGTGACCTACCTAACCAGTGTGTGGTTATGGCTGTGTTTGTTTGTGACTTACCTAACCACTTTCTGGTTATGGCTGTGTTTGTTTGTGACTCACCCAACCACTTTCTGGGTATGGCTGTGTTTGTTTGTGACTCACCCAACCAGTGTCTGGTTATGGCTGTGTTTGTTTGTGACCTACCTAACCAGTGTGTGGTTATGGCTGTGTTTGTTTGTGACTTACCTAACCACTTTCTGGTTATGGCTGTGTTTGTTTGTGACTCACCCAACCACTTTCTGGTTATGGCTGTGTTTGTTTGTGACTCACCCAACCAGTGTCTGGTTATGGCTGTGTTTGTTTGTGACTCACCTAACCACTGTCTGTGTGATCTACCTAACCAGTGTGTGGTTATGGCTGTGTTTGTTTGTGACCTACCTAACCAGTGTCTGGTTATGGCTGTGTTTGTTTGTGACTTACCTAACCAGTGTCTGGTTATGGCTGTGTTTGTTTGTGACTAACCTAACCACTTTCTGGTTATGGCTGTGTTTGTTTGTGACTCACCTAACCAGTGTCTGGTTATGGCTGTGTTTGTTTGTGACTAACCTAACCACTTTCTGGTTATGGCTGTGTTTGTTTGTGACTCACCTAACCAGTGTCTGGTTATGGAGATCCCAGACCGCGATGTTGCCATCACTACAACAGCTGAAGCAGACCTTGCTGTCGGGACTGATGGCAAGGGCATAACATGCGGGGGCACTTGATGTCAATTCTGCCTTGATTCTCGGAGTCGACTACAAACATTAGTCACCAAAAATGAAAATCTATTTCATAACACCTATCAATATTCTAAAATATATTTTGTCATGTCAAGTCTTGAATGACATTGAAACAAGTGCATTGTTCTCTTAATGGAACACCCAAGAGGTGGATAACAGTTTTTGCTACATATGTATCTGAGAAAGGGAAGTGATATTCACCCTCATTGCTTGTACAACAACAAAGTTTACATATTCTTCCTGTTCCATGAAAAATGTTGCACCCAATGATATCCCCCTTGCTCCTGTTTGAGGAATATCAGATGTATGCACGCTCATGCTGTAAACATATCCTGACATGAAACATTTGCCTTCTAGATCTGTTTATCATACAACAAGAAAACATACTCTACTTCCATGTGAATAATTACAAGCATATCTGAAAGCTGCAGGAATATTCTTTCTTCCCCCTGTGTCTATACACATATCTAATATAATGCCATTATATAAACCTTTCCTTAATTCCATCTGTTTTCAACAGGAAATAATCGCATACATGTGTTCCAGGTTTCAGAAGCATGACTCTACTCACTGCTGCCAGATCCCATATTGATAACGTGCTGGCCTCGCCTCCCACTATCAGTGTGCGGCCATCTTGCAATAACTTGATAGATCTAATGTAGTTATCTCTTTGCTGGAAAAAAAGGCATCATATGGATAAAATATGGAAGTTCCACAACATTTGATAAGGTTCAATCTTAGACACGTATCATTACTTATCAAAGAGTATTTTGTAGAACTACCAAACATTTGATATGGCTCAATCTTTGACATGTATCATTATTTATCAAAGAGAAGTTTGTAGAACTCACCAAACAGTCGAGCTGGGAGACAGGAGACTTGTTCCCTGGTTGACTGATATCCCAGACCTTCACACAGCCCTGAAAGAACAGTCAGACATTCCTGACACATCCATAAACATCGCATCCTTGACTATCATTACCGACATCATCTAACTGCAACTGCTTGCGTAATGTCCACAAGACTGTCTCACTTGCAAGTTATTAACCCAAGGCCACCTGTTTTACATTTCTTTTGTTTTATGGATGAGTCTGCCAGTCTGCAGAAGGAGAAAAGATTGTTTGAAGAAAACAAATTGTTTGATTACTAGTTTGTTTATTTCTAGACACTCTATTTGTGATAGTTTCAACTTATATTTGAAGAATATATTTTCCATGAAAAAATGAAGTTTAAAATTCAATAGTCAGTTTTCAAAACTGTTACCTTGAATTCTTACATTATCAACTAAATTTACATGCAAATTTCTTTGAATGTGAACTTCAGTCAATCCTGCCCATAAAAAAAGGAATTAAGATTTGTATATGGGTTAACTGAGTTCACTAAAGTGTAAACAAACACTCATATCTAATGGTAATATCTTGCTTTTCAAGTTTTTGTTGTGGTGTTTGACATATGGGATAACTTGATGGAGGCGTGACAAAACATTACATGCGACGAGAGGGGATTTCTAACATTAGTCTGATTACAATGTCTAGAAATTTCAAACAGAACTCCAATTACAATATCTAGGGGTTTCAAACAGGATCTGATTACAGTGTTACAGGACTTGAGTAAAATGTTGAGAGGTTTCAAACAGGACTCTGACTACAATGTCTAGAGGATTCAATCAGGATCTGACTACAATGTCTACAGGTTTCAAACAGGACTTGAGTAAAATGTTGAGAGGTTTCAAACAGGACTCTGATAAAACAGCGTCCAGACCTATTCTGGTAAAGGGCACCAGACATCGGAGATAAAGTCTTTAACTTTTTCTGGCTAGATAGGCAGATATAGAGGGGGGTAAAGGGAGTGTGTTGTGATGTGTTGTCTACATTGAGGGTGTCACCCCCTTTTCATACACTGAGCCCTATTGAGTAGTTTTACATATGGGGCAGTCCAGTACACTGGATGCCATGAAATGTCTATCTGGTCTAGAGATGCCAAGATTTCAATGCTGAAATTTATTTTTGTCTGAGTGACCAATCAATAAAATAATTAGCCCCAAGCTTACCAGTTTGAGCATGCATGATCATGCATTCTGTGAGAAGGTCAAGGTCTTATTTACTTCTACCAGACGTGTGCACTGATATGACTCAAGAGTTCTTAAATTAGTTGAAAAGAAAAATTGATATGCCAGGTGCTTAGAGGTTGGGAGTTGGAACCATCCACACTCTGTTGTCTTCACATGGTTAGGGCAAGATGCCTGTAGCCCTGATGGTGTCAGGGATGAATATACACATAAAAGCCAAATTATCCAAACACTTAATGTAACACTTTTCAAACATCAAACATAAACAGGAAGGTGGTAATTAAAGATACAGGACCAGAATATTATGTGGAGGATTTACTCTATAACTTAAGGTGTCATGTGGGTAGTCTAGTGGCTAATGTGTTCGCTTGTTCAGTCAGAACCTGTGTTTGACTCTCAACATGGTTACAACATGAAAAGCACATTCTTGGTGCCTTACAGCATGGTAATACTTGAATATTTCTCAGAACTGCACAAAACTTAAAAAAATGTCAGTAAAACAGAGAGATTTCAACTGAATTAAATTGGTAATGGAGTATGACATATGAATACAAAAACATGATACGCACCAACCATGCAGGTCACTTCTATTCAAATTTTCTACAACCAGTTACCATTCCTTACCTTGCCCCCTGTATACACGTGTCTGGTCGGGTTGCTAACGGTAACTGCACACACAACCTCCCCATGATTCAATGTGTTGATCTGCCGAGCATGACGCGGAATGCCTGGACCAATCAGAGCGTCTGGAGGAAAGGGCACCGGCTGCATCTGACCGTCTCCACTTACATGAAAGGAATATGCTCTGGAATCAGACAGATTAATTTGACTTCATGTAAACTGATATATTAAGAAAGAACTTCCATGGCGTTTGTTTTAAAAACTGTGTGTGGTAACAAATGAACAGCAACAGAAGAATATGTCCCAAATATCTCATAGAAGAATCCATACTAGCATACTGGTACATTGACAGTGAGGTCTCATGGTACATTGACAGTGAGGTCTCATGGTTCATTATGGTTACAGTGAGGTCTCATGGTACATTATGGTTACAGTGAGGTCTCATGGTACATTATGGTTACAGTAAGGGTGTCGTGGTACATTGAGGTTACAGTGAGGTCTCATGGGACATTATGGTTACAGTGAGGTCTCATGGTACATTGTGGTTACAGTGAGGTCTCATGGTACATTATGGTTACAGTAAGGGTGTTGTGGTACATTATGGTTACAGTGAGGTCTCATGGTACATTGTGGTTACAGTAAGGGTGTTGTGGTACATTGTGGTTACAATAAGGTCTCATGGTACATTATGGTTACAGTAAGGGTATGGTGGTACATTGTGGTTACAGTGAGGTCTCAAGGTACATTGTGGTTACAGTGAGGTCTCAAGGTACATTATGGTTACAGTGAGGTTTCATGGTACATTGTGGTTACAGTGAGGTCTCATGGTACATTATGGTTACAGTAAGGTGTCATGGTACATTGTGGTTACAGTGAGGTCTGATGGTAGATTATGGTTACAGTGAGGTCTCATGGTACATTGTGGTTACAGTTAGGGTCTCATGGTACATTATGGTTACAATAAGGGTCTTGTGGTACATCATGGTTACAGTGAGGTCTCCTGGAACATTATGGTTACAGTATGGGACTCATGGTACATTATGGTTACAGTGAGGTCTCGTGGTACATTGTGGTTACAGTGAGGTCACATGGTACATCATGGTTACAGTGAGGTCACATGGTACATTGTGGTTACAGTGAGGTCACATGGTACATCATGGTTATAGTGAAGTCACATGGTACATTGTGGTCACAGTGAGGTCACATGGTACATCATGGTTACAGTAAGGGTCTCATGGTACATTATGGTTACAGTGAGGTCTCGTGGTACATTGTGGTTACAGTGAGGTCACATGGTGCATCATGGTTACAGTGAGGTCACATGGTACATTGTTGTTACAGTGAGGGATAACTCTTTCCAACCATTTTGGTAAATAGGAAAATTTTCAGAAACACTTCAAGTTTAGTATCTTTTTAGAAATGTTTAGTTAGTATTTCCTCGGATGTTTTTTTTCAACTTACGGTTTTCCCCCTGGAATGCTGCCGAGTGCTCCCCGCATGTGTGCCGGAGAGCTTTCAAGTCCTACCTGCACCAAAAAAGAATTCTTCAGTATAACACACCGTACACAGAAGACCAACAGTAAGAAATAGAGATCACTAAACCAACAGTCTCAGCTGCAACAGTAAGAACACACACTATGGGAATCCTATCTTATACATAGAGCCTTAATTTTGCATCGTTCTGTCAGCTCTTGTTTTACAGCAAAGGTGAAAACGGGACTGCTATAGTTAACTCCCTTGCCTCAAGAAGATGAAGTATATATACAGCTGTATGATTAACTGAAAGGCAGACAATGTTGCCCCAATGGTGACTGATTTCACAGAGTGTCTAGTCAATGTAGGCGAGTGTCTTATGGAAACCTCTGGAGGTGGGCTTAAACATGAGAGATTGTGTAACAGCGGGCATATACTGACCAATGGCCTGGAGAAGGGTCCAGGAGACATACTGTTATGGAGCACACCGTTGAAATTGTTTGGGCTCAGCTCTCCATGAGGCAGGAATGGGTACCTCTCTGTGAGAGAAAAATATGTGTCAATTTGAAACACGTCAAGAACTGAAGACACAGAACAATCAAACGTTACGAGATTCTTAATGAGCTAAGTCTTTTATAAATAATTTCATAACTTTATAATTTTATAATTTTTCCATATAAGACACTTAATGGTTAAAGTTGTCTCTAGATTATCATTCTTAAAACATTGAAAAACAAATCACATGAAAAATAGCTAACAACTATTGTTCATGTCTTGGGTTTCACCAAAGTGGTAAATGTAACATTTGTGACTTCAGGCTTTCTAAAGCTTTACGCTGAGACATCTTGGTATCACCAAATTCTTGTAATAAGTGGCACACACAAGTCACGACTGTATTCAGCCACATTTCATATAACCGACACCTGTTTCCAGTCTAGCACAGCCACACTTCACATACCCATCTACCCTGTCTAGCTCTAAGACACTAGTCCTACAATCCTAGCCACTACTCTTCACATTAAGTCGACCCTGTCTTGTTTTGAGACAGCTCGTCCACGACTATTAGCCACTACTCTTTACAATAAGTCAGAGACTACCGGGTATATTCCATTTGTATGTGGTCTTTGATTAAGTAAGACTAGTCAGACTAGTCAAACATTACTAGCCACTACTCTTTACATTAAGTCAGAGACTATTCCATCGGTACATGGTCTCTGATTAAGTCGACCCTGTCTCGTTCTGAGAGACATGACAGGACTAGCCCTACATTAATAGCCACTAGACTTTACGTCTAACCTATCTAGTTTTGAGTGAACGACTAGCCCTACATTACTTACATCTACCCTATCTAGTTCTGAGCGACAGGACTAGCCCTACATTACTAGCCACTAGACTTTACGTCTACCCTATCAAGTTCTGAGCGACAGGACTAGCCCAACATTAATAGCCACTAGACTTTACATCTACCCTATCTAGTTCTGATGGACATGACTAGCCCTACATTACTAGCCACTAGACTTTACATCTACCCTATCTAGTTCTGATGGACATGACTAGCCCTACATTACTAGCCACCAGACTTTATGTCTACCTATCTAGTTCTGAACGACACGACTAGCCCTACATTACTAGCCACCAGACTTTATGTCTACCCTATCTAGTTCTGATGGACATGACTAGCCCTACATTACTAGCCACTAGACTTTACATCTATCCTATCTAGTTCTGAGGTGCTAGCTAGCCTCACAACTCCCCATACCAAGAGGATGGACTTTGGCACCTGGTTTCCCGGCAACAGAAGGGCCTGATGGTCCGGGGGTAGCACTTCCTGAACTTGTGGGGGTGGCAGATTTTGAGACGGGTGTAGCAGCCTTGTCATTCTGGAAGACAAATTCAGTTACAAAAACATAATATAGAAGCAACACATCCTGTCCAAGAATGTAAGGAGGCTTATGCCATGGCAGTCTATGTTAGGCTACACGGCAGTTGGACCAAACATACTGAGTGAGTGAGTGAGTGAGTTTAACAGTATTCCAGTTATATCGAGGCGTGTCAGCTTAATGCGAGAGGAAAGCCCGAAATGATGCAGGTCTCAGACGTTTACCACTTCAGAGAAACCCACGAGCACGGGTATGGTGCTGTCAAACCTAGAAACATGATCGGGGCGAACACGGGATTCGAACCCACAATCATGGGTTTCTGGCGTGCCCAAGGGACACAACTCTTCACAGTGAATTGGGGTGCCTTAGACAACTGTGCCACCTGTGCCCCCCAAACAGACTGAAATTAAACAAGGACGGACAAAGTCCTACAACTCCAGACTTGCTATTTTCTGCTCGTGGATTATCTGATCCTTATTCCAGTTAACTTCTGTGACGATACAATGGATGTGTGTTGGACAATCTACAAACAATCCTCACAGGAGGGGTAACAACTGCGTCACAACTGATCCCACTGTCAATGCACTGCAATTGACCATGGTCAGGCCATACATCGAAGACAAATCACATATCAATACTTCGTAATGAGTCCCTGGTAGAGTGTGAATAGTTTTGACATAAATGACATGAAACGCTATGAAAAATCAATTTTGACCTGTGTTATCATTGATTTTATCCAGGCTTTCATATAAAGTGCCAAATTGGAAGAAAAGAAATCACTATTTTCAATTATTTTTCATTTTTAAATTCTTGTTTTCTGAAATACAGAGATTTTTACATTGCAATGCAATGACATAATGCAAGTAAAAAAACATATCCCATTACTGGAGCTGTTATCAGTGAAAAGTCTTATTATGAGTTTGGAAATTCTTATTTCCAAATTGGAAATGTTTACTGACATTTGTTGCAGAATTGGAGCTGAATCTCAGCTTCTGAGGAGCTCTAGATAAATCCCTGGTGACATACTGGTAGTACATTATTTACTTATCATTCTTATCCTAAACACTCTTTGTTGACACCACCTGTGAAGATCCAGGTTAGAATAGGTCTTCAGCAACCCATGCTTGCCGTAAAAGACGACCATACTTGTCGTAAGAGGGGACTAACATGATCGGGTGGTTAGGCTCACTGACTTCGTTGATGCATGTCAGTGTATCCCAATTGTATGGATCGATGCTCATGATGTCAGTCTCTAGATTGTCTTGTTCAGACTTGATTATTTACAGACCACGGTCATATTGCTGGATTATTGCTGAGTGCGACATTAAACAACAAACAAACTTTGTTGAAACACTTTCCTGATATGACATTAGACTGTATCTATATCATTTAAGCTCCACAACAAACCTCAACGGACACTGGAAATGGCAGACTAAATCATTACTTTCACATTATCCTGAATATCATACATAAAGTCTGCACTGTAGGAGATAAATAGTCCTCGTAAAAGCGATACATTACTAATAACACTACAATGGCTCCTTTGTCATTGGGGCGGTCGGGTAGCCTAGTGGTTAAAGCGTTCGCTTGTCACGCCAAAGACCCGACATGGGCACAATGTGTGAAGCCCATTTCTGGTGTCCCCCGCCGTGATATTGCTGGAATATTGCTAAAAGCGGCGTAAAATCGTACTCACTCACTCACTCCTTTGTCTTTGCTTGTCACTCCTAATCAGCAATAAAATAAAATATTACAAAAAGGTAATGGCACTTTTTTCATCACAATCCAACAAAACTGTGAGTATGGCTACCACAATCACAAGTCTTAACACGACTTTCAGTTTCTTTGTTTCTTTGTTGTTTAACGCCCCACTCAGCAATATTCCAGCTATATGGCGGTGGTCTCTAAATAATCGAGTCCGGACCAGACAATCCAGTGATTGACATCATGAGCATCGATCCACGCAATTGGGATTGATAACATGCATCAACCAGGTCAGCGAGCCTGACCCCCGATCCCGTTAGTCGCCTTTTACGGCAAGCATGGGTTGCTGAAGAACTATTCTGACCCGGATCTTCACGAGTCGAACGACTTTCTGAACTGTGGCCACCATTTGTTTTCTTTTCTTTGTCCATGCAACACATTGTTATCACCTCTTTTTGTTTGGTAGATGTTCCACTTCCGTGAGAAGACGTGTCGCTACGAGGACTGCTTCTGTCATCAACTTTCTTATTGTTGTTGTTGTTGTTGTTGAGTAGGTCTTTGCTAGCCTTCTCCCCTGGAGACAAGTCGCCATTCATGGGAGACGTGTTATCCTGTATAATATCAAAATATAGATAAAAATATTGCCCCACCTTTATGTCAATTATAACATATTATCACGACTTACAATTAATAAGATTGTGTATAAATTTATGGGCATTGAATCATATTCATACAATTTGTTCACACAAAAAATATCAAAACTGAGATGATTGAAATCATAAATAAAATGCATGAAAAAATTAAATCTGTAATTTCAGAGAACTAATATTTTCTGGACACATTTTATGTTCTTTCCCAAAACACAACAATCACATTTAAAGAGATTTATCCACATATTGATCTGGTGAAACTTGAGCTTACATCACCGACATCCACGACTAATTCTGCATCACTACCCTCTCCATCGTTTTCCTGCAGATGTAAAAAAATGAAATGTTAGTTTTTCACCCAATGAAAAATATTTCACAAAGTCTTATCCGATACCAATTTCAATAAAACTCACTATTAAATCCATAAACATAAAAATTATTCCTGACAGTTAAACATTAACGAGCTTAGGAAGCTGAACAGAGAAACGTTTCTACTTCATCTCTGTAAGTAAAGCCTATACAACCTCAGGCTTCTTGCGTTCATTTTTTCTGTAGAATTAATTACCAAGCTCGTCTAATGTGAAATTGACACAAGGCAGCCTGCTAGCCCTTCTTCTAAAATATCACTTGTACAAACAATTCAATTTGTTCTAAGGCCTTGAAGCATACATTGACAATCATACCCCATTTTTGTTATCTGATCTTTTCCTTTTTGCTGCCCGATTGTTAACTTCAGGCGAACGACTACGGTTGTGGAACCGGTTGCGATCATGTGGAGACGAGGATGAACGCTGTAAAAAACAAGAAGGATTTTTAATTTCCTGTGCTATGTAACATTTCAATTAGATCTATTCTTGGTTGTATTGAAGACGATGTTCTGCTGAAAAAAATAACGGTTATATCCCCATTCCAGGTCTACAGAGACTGCATGAACATCCAGCGACATCTCCACATCTCCACGTGTGCCGTCAGTGATAACACTACACTGTACCTCTAAACAAATCTTTTGACAGAAATTATTCTACTCTTTTTTCCAAATGTTGTATTAAGCAAAGAAACTGAATATGTTTTCCCCCTTATTCCAAAGGCTCAATTTCCCTTTCGCGTGCAAGGACTGCTAGAGCAAAGAAGTTAGACGATGTTGATTTCAATGTTTTTTTAAAACTCAGCCACAGGAAGCTGTCTCATCTTCTAATGGATATATCTTTTTTTCCAGATTGTACACGGCAAATCTACTTTACATACGCACACAGGCATCATTTAAAAAAAAATAAATCCACACATGGTATGTATCTTATATTAAGATATGATCATAACACTTGAAAAAAAGTGCTATCAAATTAACAACAGTTACATAATTCCATTAAGTACCACGATAGTATGGCTTATTCTTGAAAAAGATTGTTCTTTTCAAGGCTTTCTCGTGTGAAACACAAATTAATCTTAATAAAATCCCGGACAATGGAATCATCAAAGGTATGGGCAGGTCCCAGTATTTACTTGTGATGAGTCGTCTTCCATAGCAATGGGAAAGGGAGGTCAAGTGTTTTACATCACTGCTAAAAACAGGTTGATAAAAAAAGACAAGGCCGAGTACAACAATACTTGACCTACATGCTGCAACTGCTCTGGGAATTCCTGGCTTTAGGTGCAACAAGCGAGTTGCATAGGGAATTATATCTTTTTTCTATGGCTGAATTTTTTTTTTCTATTACATTAAAAAAATATTTCACAATTTCTTAAAGAGTTTCTTAATAGTAGCCTGTTCCCAGCTGTCAATTACTTCCAACAACTTTATCCCCTGAAGAGATAGATGCTTTTGATGATTTATTCTGAAAATCTATTTTTAGACAATACCTGTGTTGGAATTCCCTTAATTTTGAAGAACTTTACAGTGAGGTATTTGTATTGCGATAGGAATTAGAACTAATGTTATTGTTGTTTCCTAAAAATTGTGACTCTGACCCTTCCTAAATAAGTCAGTAAATATGGTCCAACGTCATTGCACAATTATCCCATCCACAAATGATAATGTCTGGTCGTCAACTTCAAAGAGCAAAGATCCATGATACACAATCAGACAGGTCACACTGTAGGCACCTAATCCTCTCTAACTTCAATATGCGCTACAGCAACCGAGTGAGTGATGCCAGAGTTTAATGCCACTTTAGCAATATTCCAGCCCTGTTATGGCAGAGGACATCATGAATGGTACACCCAATTTGAATGATACCATGGGAGTGAATACTCAATGTTTCAAAAGAACATCTGGAGCTCTGTGTTATCCTAACATGACAGTAATATATAACTACAGCGCCTTAGCATCTTCCCGAGGCAAGGCAGTTAATTGACTGTTAAAGTCCAGCTTCCACCTTGCTAAACTAGGCTGCAATTTTATAGGTTGACTTTAGCGCCACCAGTGGCAATTACGGGGTTATGTCCCTTCTATGTCCCTCCTATCGACCAATCAGATTCCACCTCTCATATCACTTGCAATTGATTCAAACAAAATGGCGGCGCCCACTCAAGACAATCTGATCAATAATCAGGATTTTTTTTGGTAATAAAATGGGTCTTAACTCGCGAAGTACATCAAACCAGTTGAGCACCTTGACGAAAAGCATGAAAAGTTTTGTTTTGCCCATTTGACAGTACACATGATCTGCAAATCCTGCCATCAACATGGCAGTCGTCATGTTATTTATGAAACAAATGTCGATTTTGTTCCATGTTTTTGATTTGACCATGCATAGATTCATGGGTCCAGCCAAAATATATGTCCATAATTCTAGCCTAGTTTGGCAAGGGTGGAAACTGGACTTTTATAGTCAGTTAACTCCCTTGCCTCGGAAAGATGTGACTTAGAGGATGGAGCCATCCGTGCTCACAGTACAGGAATACAGAAGTGAAATGCATAAATTGCATCTATGGATTAACTGTTTATATATTTAAAATGTGTTACAATTGTGAAAAAAACCCACTTTGCTACAATGTGTGACTCCCATTCTTATTGCCCCCCTCATGGCTGGAATGTTGCTAAAGGGATGTGAAATGCTATTCACTCATACAATGTATTTACATATCTGGTTTCACGGTACCTATTTTTAGAACACTACATCATCATCATCAACATCATCATCATCATCATCACCCATGTGATGTCAATGTAAGTATACAAGTAACATAATCAATATATACTGCAACAGGTGCCAACAATGATAAACTAAGTCACAGTTATTAAATCTGTGCGTTTATTGAATACTAGATTTATGATATTCATAACAATATGCTGCCTCATTAATATACATGTGATTACATCCATTTTATCAACAAAGATCTGCATTATTATTGTTATATATTCGATATAACGGGTGCTTAAAAAGTGGACTTCAGAGGACTTGTTAAAAATGACAACTTAGTTGATTTGTCAAAACAATTATTTGTTCCAAGCAAAATGTTCATAGTACTGCTTTGGTAAAATATATGAAAAGTCTGACATTTTGCTAGTAAAATATTTCTTACAATCATGCACTACTTGTTCACAAGTCACTTAGTGGTTGATAACCACTGCTATAAAATGGAAACAAATTAATGTCTACAGAAAAAAGGATTTAGTCCAAACATTGGCAGTATGAGTTACATCTGTAAGGCTTACCAAAAACCAATAATCATTGGTTTGAATTTAAAATTGACTAGGTTTGTCTGTACCAATTCCTGCTTGTGGGTTTCAACAATGTGGGAAGTGTCTAAGACCTTTGTTACTGTGAGCTTTCATAACATGACGACAATGATGATGATGATGATGATGATGATGATGAAAGTGGATCTAAGTGACCCCTCATGCTGAAAATCTACAATTAGGTTGAAACAGGCATGAAGTGCATCTCTGAACCATACACGTCAACTATATGTGAACCATTTTAAATGTCCTATTATGGAGTAAACTAATGCAACTCAACGACCCCATATTGACACCTTTCCACTTCAATGGCCAATGATAAACCCTAATCCTGATAACTCAATCCCTTTCTTCTCTATCTAAAAACAACAGCTACCTCCTAGAACTACACAATCACTAAACAACCGGATACAGTCCCCTCAGCAGGGGACCAAACCACTCGAACTTTCCAATGACATTGAACAGTGCAACGCAGTAATGTTAGACAGTATATCATTGCAAGGGGGAGTTTTCATTGGACCATATTAAATCTGAAGGAGTTTGATTGGATATATTTCCTCCTTGTAATAGCATGGTAACAGAAATTAAGAAAGACATTGTAAATTCTCAGAAGTCCAGAGTGGCTGAAGTGGAGTGTCAACACTCCAGATGTGTTTGCACTTGGGGGTCGGAGAAGGTGCTAGGATATTCAACTGACACATAGCTACCTCGCTAGTCTCCCAATCTCTACCAAGTCGGTGAATATGGCAACTAGGGAATATATGAGTGCCTGAGTAGGAGTTATGGAAAGACTAACCTGCCATTAATATGTATGGAAGCTTGGTGGTGCCATATCATCTAAATGTGATACTCTGCACTGTAATATATACTCAAGCTGTTGCAGGGTCAGAGAACTGGGCACCTTTTATGGTGACCTCATATACAGAGGTCAGCAGCTAGTCCTTTTGTTAGTGGGTAGTAGAAATTGTAGAGGGTTTGTTATCTTAAAAGATTTTTGTCAAAAAACTTGCATACACTCATTTCCTTTGGTCCACTGCAAGCAGAAATACAAGAGAGCTTGCTATGCTATAATGTTTTGTAAAATATTTCTTGCATTTAAGATCTTGATTATCATATGCCATATCATCCTACAAGGGTAAAGTTCCTTATGTGAGAGTGAGTGGTTGAGTGAGTGAGTGAGTGCATCAGAACAGTATACTAAGGTCAGCTGTAATATATCTGCTTAATACTTGAGCAAAACCCAAAGTACCATTTCTTACTACACTGAAACCCACTAGAACAGATATGGTGTTGACATGGATACGATGAGATTCGAACCCACCACCACTGGATCACGGCACATACAGAGAGACACCTTAGATGATTGGACCATCTGAGCTCTTTCTACGCAAATAAATAAAGCTTTTGGGCTAAAACCCAAGAGCAATCTTAGTTCCTAGTATTGAGCTTTGGTCTCATCAGACTGTTGTGTGTGGGTAGGGGAGCTCCTTATATACACTTTGTGTTCCAGATGCAGTAATGGTGGAGTCTACTGGTGGAGCGGTACCGGTGGAGTCTACTGGTGGAGTGGTACCGGTACTGGTGGAGTCTACTGGTGGAGTGGTACCGGTACCGGTGGAGTCTACTGGTGGCGTGGTACCGGTGGAGTCTACTGGTGGAGTGGTACCGGTGGAGTCTACTGGTGGCGTGGTACCGGTGCAGTCTACTGGTGGCGTGGTACTGGTGGAGTCTACTGGTGGAGTGGTACCGGTGGAGTCTACTGGTGGAGTGGTACAGGTGGAGTCTACTGGTGGAGTGGTACCGGTGGAGTCTACTGGTGGCGTGGTACCGGTGGAGTCTACTGGTGGAGTGGTACCGGTGGAGTCTACTGGTGGAGTGGTACCGGTGGATCGTGAGTGGTCAGTGGTGTTCTCACAACCGGTCGACCAATTAGGACAAGGTAGAACTGAAATACTACTCACGCACAGATGCATCTTCTTAACACTAAGATTTCATCCCAGTGTTGCCATCACAGATTTCAGAAAGAGAACTTCACATAGAATTCTGTCGACTATTTGTTACCATAATAGGATGTATCATCAAACTATGGACATTTATCAACTGTTGTCTAAAAAATACAACACATACTATTGTCTGTTCGTAATTAGATACTGCTTGCTTTGATGTACATAAAAAATATGGAAATTTGACTGTGACATTTTGAAACATCATTTGATAATGGAATAATTATGAATGAAAGTATTTATTCTACGGCTGGCCAAACTGACTGGTCACTTGCATAGAGCTCCATAGTTCCTTATCACAATAATAGATATGTATTAATCAGTCAGTTGTGAAATGAATGATTGAAACACTCAAAGTAGTCGTCTAAAGATATTTCATGAATATTTGAATTACCAATTCTATTCTATTGGGGCCATGAATATAACTTTAATAACTGAAGGAAAATGAAAAATAAGTATTTATATGGTATTCAGATATTTTAATTATTATTTTTATTGTACTACTTATACTCAATGAAACACAACATCAAAAAATCTTGTTTATATATATACACATATATATACATATATATATAAAAGAAAGGAAAAAATTCAATTTTTTTTTATATACATGTGACTTATGTTACCATGAAGTTCATGGTACAAGTCACGACCTCCATTATCAAACAAGCACATCTGTGCCAAACAGTGACCGTAGCATTTATCACATACGATAATAGCACTTGTCACAATTTCCTATCACATATCATCCCACAGATAATTCAATATCCTCGGGATTTAGATCATCTGTACATTTTTCTCTATTTAATCACAAAGCCTCCAATCAAAGGCAAACAAATATTGCCCTAGTCACTGATCCATCTAATTGATGGGTTAAGAAAAATAGCTGCTGGCAATACTACCCCACAGCACTCCCTCGGTCTGCGCAAACAGTAGGACCTTTAAGTAAATATGGTCGCTCATTGTACAAACAACGATGCCTTGAAATATTGTAATTCCTTAGTGTTCCTCCCCCCTGTATAAATGCATCATAGCGGTTTTATTTACACTGGGATTTCATTGATCCTGAGCTTGGCGTTGGCATTACTTGGACTTCAGTCTCCATCTAAAGAGAATCAATCTTGCCGATTCATTTTCAATCTCTACTCAGACAAAGAAATCGGAGAAAGAAAGGACAAGCTTATCGGCAAAGCACACCTCCGAGAATTTCTAATCTTTGCGGGTAAACGTGTGGTGCGGGCGGAAGAACAAGAGACAAAAAGCCAGCCAATTAGGGAATGATAGATGAAGAATGGACTTCCAAAGCTATGGTATTCTCGCTTCCCTGCGAGAAGCCGCACGGCAAAGCAAAGCTCCTCACAGGGTTAGATTACGTGCAATTAATGAAGGCACACTAATAGCCATGATGTTCGGCACTGATAAGAGTTATGAGTGTTAATGGATGTAATTTGAACAAACAGGACTACTTTCGAAGTGGTAATGTATTCATACACAATTATTTCATTTTCATGTTTATATTATTAATGAATAACATATGATATCATTCTATCACCTAAACCTGGATTCTTAGAATATATTACTGAATTTCATTTGCCAATTACATTGACAGGTTGTCAAGCTCTTAAATAAAACTTACCACTGACATTAAGTAAATAATCTACAAAAAGGTTATCCTTAAATAAAGGCATTTGCTTTTTGAGAAGGATACCCTTGTCTTTCTGTTTATACAGATCCTATGGGTAAATCCAGGGAATTTGAAACCCAAATGGAATATTTATACAATGCAAACATGTTACTCCAATCTATAGAAGTAAACTCATTTCGCAGTGAAACGAGAGTAATCTTTTGTCCCCTTGTGAACAAACATCCCCATGTGTACAGAGGCGAGCCCTGTGTTTACTGAGCGTCCCTTGCATTCAGGTTTTGTCGAACAATGTCGCAGTCGGCAAATCGCAACCCACAGACATCAAATATTGTCTAAGCTATGGCAGTGTAAACAGTTAATATCTAAAACCAACACTCTGCGGCAGCTTGTATTTACACTTCACACTCTTCGCATGCACTACACATCAACTCAACAAAGACACAAGGGAGAAATTGGGCAAGTTTTATTTAAAATGCCCCTTGTATTTGCATTGCAACAAAATAATTTTCCCCCGAGGGCAAACTAATTTCTGACTTTAGTACATGCAGATGGTTTAACGTTATTTGAGCAGGGTGACAAATACAGAATCAATAGTGTGCGTAATGTCGCTCGCAAATGTAAGCAATAAAAACAATGTACATTGTACGATATCGCACACACGGGCAGGGGGATAAACACAGCTCTATACACGTTTATTTCGGTGTTCTCTGATCCAGGCTGTAATGTCATACATGAAATTGTCGACATGGTTTGTGAAGTCATTGTGCAACAAAATCAATACAAATTCATTCCACCACTAACCCACTCATAAGATACTCAATTATTACAGGAAATATTTTTTTTGAAAGGACGGGATATAAAGTAATCACTTATAGAACACTAAATACAAGGCGCATTAGATCCCCTTCCTGGTGAATTCCGTTTAGTAGAGCTCATCTTCTCCAGTTCTGATTTAAGATGGCATCCTCCATCCTGTTCTTAATTAATCATTTACTTGTGCCCATACTTGATAATAGCTTCTTTACGTTTCCCTTTGAAACGGTGTGTTTATAGGCAAGGTCATTCATGTGTGTCACTATTGATTTGGAGTTAAATTTCTAACATGCTCACGGCCACATCTGTTATAAAAGGCTCTCCATGAGAAATGTGCTTGTTAGTTGTTTAACGCTGCACTCAACAATATTCCAGCTAATGGCCACGGTCTCTAAAGAATCGAGTCTGATTGATATCATGAGCATCGTGCCATGCAACTGGGATACGATGACATGCATCAACCAAGTCAACGGTCTGATCCCCCGATTGCATTAGTCGCCTCTTACAACAAGCATAGTTGCCCCTTATGACAAACATGGGTTGCTGAAGACCAATTCTAATCCGGATCTTCACAGGTCTCAGCATGTTGGTTGGTTGGTTGTTGGTTGGTTTGTTGTTTAATGCCGCACTCAGCAATATTCCAGCTATATGACAGCGGTCTGTAAATAATCAAGTCTGGACCAGACAATCCAGTGATTAATACCATGAGCATCGATTCACGCAATTGGGACCGATGACATGTATAAACCAAGTCAGCGAGCCTGACCAACCGATCCCGTTAGTCACCTTTAACGACAAGCATAGTCACCTTTTTACGGCAAGCATGGGTTGCTGAAGACCTATTCTACCCCGGATCTTCACAGGTCTCTCAGCATGTATGAAATATACTCAGATGTGGTTCTTGCCTGCTAAGAAGCTTATACTTACATGTTTCTCTTCTTCTTCTAAGGCAGGAAATATGAAAAGAACAACAAACGCCAATGACTGGTTGGTTAACCATAAACAATTGCTTATAACATGGAAATACACGCCTACGTAAAGTAGTATACAGAAATATATTTATTTAGTTTGGGCTAAAAAATAATAATCGTGGTTCTCAGGCACCACCTGCATCATCATAATGTTTGTTTTGTTTTTAATTTCATTTTTAAAAAACACAAATAAACAATTGTGTTTATTTGGTTGCACAAATGTTAATTTGGTCACACACTAGTTTGAAAAAAGCGTCATGATGGAATGATGACCACCCAATCCATTTAGTTGCCTCTTGTGACAAGCACAGGTACCTGGGGCCTACATCTTACCCAGAATCCACACAGGTGCAAAAGAAGGACCATCGTCAAGTCAGTCCACCTTTAACACTATTAGCCGATCGTGTGGGGACATGGAGATAAACAATGCGTTTCAGTACAATGTACATGGATTGTTATTCAATCAGTTAATTAATCATTCCATCATACCAGCACGTTCACACTATCATTACTTCCGTAATCGTCGGCATATTTGGATAAATAAAACAAAAGATAAGTGAAGGTTTTTTTCTTGGTCCCTTGAAATTTTACTTTACTGAAGCGTATTCCATTGTAGCTAAAGCAAATACCATATTCGACGTAATAAGCGCCCAGGGCGCCATCAAAATAAGAAATAGGGGGCTCTTATTAGAATGGTATTTTGGTGGAAAAAACAGAGTTGAAAGATAAATTTCGTGGTTTATGCTGACAGCCTGAAATGTTTATATACATGTACGACAGATATATATTTCCAGAATTTAATTGCCCATAATTAAGGGTGCATATAGCACATGAGGGCATATTATAAGCGAATAAATAAGTCTTGTGTAATTGGGATTGTTCACTAGCCAATATATAAGCAAATATCGCTGTGGGCGTTTATTAGAGCGGGGTGCTTATTATGTCGAATACGGTATATTATTTATTGAAAATATGACCAGTTTTTCGTTCATATCATCCGTAACACGTGTCCCTACTCTTTCCACATGTTTTCAAGCACTTTAAGATACAAATCAAATTTAGTTTTTGCACCAAATACAGACTAAGAGAGGTCACTTCGTACATTGAAATCCAGTTTATCTTTGTAACCTATTAATGAAATGAATAAAAACTAAAACACTCCTCCCTCCCTACCCAGTTAGTTTTAAAAAAGGTTATGAGAAATGCTCATAAATAGCTTTGTGAGGTGAGGTGAAATTGGGTTTAACATCGCATCTGAGATTATTGCACTTATATAGCGACGTGCATGCACGTGTGTGTGTGGCTGATTGTACTAGTCCGGACTGATGCCGATTTATATTGCTAGCTCATTGAGATACCATGCCACAGTTTAACATGAATACCCCACTCAGACACAGTATACTGACTCCAAGCTGACCAGTCCTTGTTTTAGCCCCTTAATGCCGAGTGCCAGGAAGGGTAACAACAAGTACCATCTATTAACGATTATGGTATGATGCGGCCGGGGACCGAACCCTGGACCTGGACCGTCTCCGGGCGGACGCTCTACCACTAGACCACGGAGGCGGTCATGACCATAGCTTCATGACCATCTGTGCAACTCACCACTGCGTTTCTCTTCCTTGTGAGCGTTGAGAACACTGTGGGCATGAGCAGCGAAGCTGGAGCTCTGTGACAGTGCCAGCAGACCCGACCCTGACACTGTGGGGATGGGGGGCTGCAGCCCAGTGGGGTGGGGCGGCATCGGGATGGGGGGGGCATGGGCGTGGGGGAGGTGCTGGGCCTGCATCTGTTGCTGGAATATAAAACACAATATCCATCAATACCATTCCACACGTGTTTATCCACCTGACAGAACAACAGCACTTAACATCATGCATAAATCATCACAATAAAACGTTTCACAAAATGTTGTGTCGACCTCACAATAATGTTTACTTCCATTCAAAATAATTTTCTAATTTCGGCTGCACAAACCAAAACAGTTTGTGGTTGGTGCACTTCATGTTAAGTCCTGGAACCTAACACATCACTGTTTGTCCTGGTATAAAAAAAACATTGATTTTCAAAACTGTATATCAATTATATGAAAAAATGCATCAAATAGAACTCTTTGTGTTGTTTTTTCACCAGCTGTGGCGGAACTGTTGTATGTAGATCAAGCATAAACAACGTATGTGTGTGTGTGTTTCACACCATGCTTTGGTGGCTCCCATCTCTATGCTGACTATTATCTCTGTGTGATTTATTCTTTTGTTATCATAAAGCTGTCTCTCATAAAAAAAACTGGTTTGAAAAGAGGCCCCAATAGGCTGGTTTTGTACATGTTTATTCAGTAAATCAACAGTACAGTTAACACTGAAATAGGAAAATATTGCTTTTATGCATAGAAATAGGAATATTAGCCAAATCAATTTAGCAGTAATTTTTTTCAAATATTTTAATACATTTTACACAAATAGATATATTGTGCGTGTTTGCATTGTGAGTCAAACAGTCCATATGAAATTTCCGTATTGTCTCTACAGCTCATGTTTTTCTCACATGCAAATTTTCTGATTTTGTACGACTACAAGCTATGCTTATTTAGATGTTAAACACACCTAATTAGCCTCATTCATTGCTTCATATCACCAGCTATGATGTCCCGTATATACAGGAGGGGCGCTTAGTGGTGAAAGCGTTCGCTTGTCACGCTGAAGACCCAGGTTTCCCCCGATTCTTCGTGCGAATCCCCCTTTCTGGTATCCCCCCCGCCATGATATTGCTGGAATATTGCTAAAAGCAGCATAAAAACTGTACTCACTCCTACACAGAATCACACACTAAATACAGAAATATCAAGAGCAAAAATGCTGCAAAGAAACCTACGTAGACTGGTTCCAGGATGGTTTTGTGTTGCATCACCTTAATAATATGTACGGACAGATCCCTTTTGCAGCCTGTTTCTGTGTTATTATTGTCAGCAAACATTCAACTTAGGTTTGCTTTGTATAACATATCTTATCTAAGGAAATAACATAACAATACTAGAACAAGGAAAGCAATTTGGATAATTTTTTCAACAATAATTTTCTACATAAATTCTAGAAAATATATGATATTTGGTGTCAAGCTTTGTGGATGTTATTATCACAGGGGTATGTTTAAGTTGGTTGGTTGGTTGGTTTGTTGTTTAACGCCCCACTCAGCAATATTCCAGCTATATGATGGCGGTCTGTAAATAATCGAGTCTGGACCAGACAATCCAGTGATTAATATCATGAGCATCGATCCACGCAATTGGGATCGATGACATGCATCAACCAAGTCAGCGAGCCTGACCACCCGATCCCATTAGTCACCTTTTACGACAAGCATAGTCGCCTTTTACGACAAGCATGGGTCGCTGAAGACGTATTCTACCCCGGAATCTTCACGGGTCGTTATGTTTAAGTGGAGTTACAGGACATGCACACCTCATCTTGTCTCAAACTGATCGTAGCATTGTGGCTATTGTAACACTCGTAGTTAACACAGACTCATGACAGTCCTAGCACTGAATTGTTTTGTTGATTGAGTTGTGTTTATTGGTGCCTTTAACGGTATTCCAGTTATATCACGGCGTGTCAGCTTAATGTGGGAGGAAAGCCTGAAGTGATGCTGGTCTCAGATGTTTACCACTTCGGTTAAACCCACGAGTCATGTATGGTGCTGACAAACCTAGAAACAAAATCCGGGTGAACCGGGATTCGAACCCACAATCATAGGCTTCTGGCGTGCCCAAGGGACACAACTCTGCGAATTGCTGCGCCTTAGACGACTGGGCCACCCGTGCCCCCTCTAGCCCTGAAATCACTATGGAATGTGACTTTGATCATGAGGAGGGAACAGTTACTACAAAGGGATTCATATGATTAAGCGGTACCCCATGCTTGTCATAAAATTTAACATAGAACTATTTTGTTTGTTGCTCAATGCTGCACTCAGCAATATTCCAGCTATAACAGACAATTCAATGATTGCCATCATGAGCATCGATCGATGCAATTGAGATACGATGACAATCATCGACCAAGTCAGTGAGCCTGACCACCCGGTCCCCTTCTTAAACATACATATTACTGTAGAACTAACTGAAACTTGAAGTAACAACAGCCACTTGCATTAAAGCACATTAGCACTACAACACTCTTAGCACAGTTTATTTTACATAAACAGGGTATGAAACTCCCAAAAATTTCAGCCAGACCACAGGACTGGCTAGCTGAAATACTTGCCAGCCCTGACCAAAACCTGCCTGCCCACTATAATCATATGTTTCTCAGGATAATTTAATTAAAAATATGAAAACTGATTGCTTGTAGCATAAGCGCATCGCTAAATGTTAGGTTGTCTAAAAGCTAACGGGGTTTCTTTTTGGTTACATTTTATCATTCATCTTTACATCTGAATTAATGCTTATCATCGGGAAATATTTAGAATATTTTCACCTATAAAATATAACCCGACTGTCGGGCAGGGGGATTTGAAAATCTCTCAGCCCGAGTTGAAATCAACCCGTCTCGGACGGTCGGGCAGGCAGGTATTTCGAACGCTGACATAAACCTTTAGTCGTCACAGACCAAAAGGACTTTCCACAAGGTAGCCTGGAGTCTCCGTGGGACAAAACAGCTCTCAAGCAGCCTGGCTGTGTTGGTGTGAATTTGAACTCATTGACAAGCATGTGAGCCAATGTTTCACCACTGCTTTGTTTGTATGGAATGATAGTGCCGTCCACAGTCTCACTTCATTGCAAATAAATGGAAAATCTCACGGAACTGTCTTTTGATATCAAATATATCAACACAAGTCAATAAAAGTCTAAAACACCGAGGCTTGCCGAGGAGTTTAGGATTATTATTGATGATTGTTGATATATTTGGAATCAAAAGAAAAGAGGTTAAGAATCTATTTATCATCCCAAATCATTTTTCCCACTTTTGTAAACAGTAATAACCAGTTTAAATGGTACAGCTAACCAGCTTCACTGGCAGAGATTAGAGCTGTCATTTGATTGTGACGTTAGGTAATTGACATTGCATGAACAATACATAACAGGGAATAATGTCATGTATAAATGATGTCACCTCGACATGACGCCATGAATATTGCTTCTACCATGAATTAGACAATCAGCCTCAGATCTGAGTACAACACATATAGATATAAAACATGAATGCCAGAGAATAATCACTCATGCATATCTGCCGAAACGGATTCCATTTGGCGTAAAAGGCAAAATAGTCATGCAAATTATATGAATGGATCACTGAAAATCAGTGATGACACAAGGTGTTCCCAAACAGGGTAATGTCATCGATCCCAATTGCGTGGATCGATGTTCATGCTGTCAATCACTGGATTGTCTGGCCCAGACTGGATTATTTACAGACCGCCGTCATAGCTGGAATATTGCTGAGTGCGGCGTAAAACAACAAACCAAACCAAACCAAACAGGATAAGCATGTCCTGCTTTATCGGCAGCTCCACTATTCACAAACTGTTCAAATGTTTTGTTTGTTGATTAATTCTGGAGTTAGCCATATTTCCGCCATTTCAAGGCAACCTGTATATAATCTAGTCTGGACCAGACAAACCAGTGATTGATATCATGAGCAAAATCCTACATCCATTGGGGTATGAGGATGTGCAGCCAACCATGTCGCTGAGTCTGAACACTCAACCCATCTAGTTGCTGCTTACAAAATGCATTCTTAAACTAGGAATTAGGATGCACAACAAATGACACGTTTACAAATATTTATATCTTTAAACATAACAAATGAAACACACTGTTTATATCTTTAAACATAAATATGAGCAGTCATGTTTTAAACATAATACAAATATTGCAGAACAAATTGCTGTTTGAACTGACTTAAAGATGTGAACACAAAAATCGAGGTTACCCACCCCAATAATTGCGTTAAGTTCCTGCATTGTCACCTGTTTGGCTCTCTCAACTGCTGCTGCCACCTGCTGCTGATGCTGAAAACAAACATCCACCAATCAGAGACCAGCTTACAAGAACACTGACCAATAAGAATGAAGATGACAGATGTCTGGTACCTCACCTTTACAGCAGTAAGAATTAATAATGTAAACACTATTAATAGTTTAGATATTAGTTATATTAGCTGTTGAGTACAGCATTATCAACCATGTTTAGAATCCATGAGATGACAGCATAATGCTCTCCAACCATCAGCTTTTCAGATGATTGAATGCTGAATCAGTCACTGACATGGTTGAGTGTGGCATCATTAATGATACTTGAAATATATTTACATTGATTTATTTGTCAGATCACGAATGATCTCATTGGTATTACAGTTTTCATGGATGTTTATATATTTTTATAGCATACGAATTTGAGAATCAGATGTTACTATTTGGTGAAAACTCCATAAAGTTGACACACTTGCCCACAAGGACAAGGTCTAAGTAAACTTCATGTTTTGCTTGACATGTTTTCTTGCCACTATATAAAAAGGAGGCAACATTAAACAAATAAAAACTGTTGTGAGTTTTTTTTACCTAAACCATCCCTCTTGAAAGAAATGTTTTGATACATATGCAGAGGTCTGGTCTATAAAAATGTATGAGTTGACAGACATTTAGAATTTAGAGAATGTATGATGCTTGATTATGTAGTACTACAGAGCTCGAGATAAGCTGCGCATTTGCGTAAAATGTGCATTAAATAACCTGAAATATGCAGACAAATCAAATCCTAGCATATCAAATTCGCCAGAAAAAATATAAATACACTATTGAAATAAAATTAATGTCTATATGAGATAAAATGATTGTGTATCAACCGATCGCGAAATTCCCTTACCGACAGATACATTCGGAAAAGCTTATGCTACAAACATACTGATTGATTCCAATTGAAAAGCGCATAATTGCCAAATCAAAGTTGTATCTTAAACAGTCTCTGTATGGTGATAATAAAATAACACCTTCATAGAAAGCTAGGTTTTGGAAACAAAAACAGCTTCCCGGAGAGGGAGCCGCATGCAGACACAGACGGAATTACTACTATTCCCATAGTTCTAAATGATTTACAGGGATTGTTAAGAAACAGATTTTCAAGTTAAAATACCCAAACGTCAAGAAACAGGTGGATAAAAAAACTTAAATACCCTCCAAATGTTGTGGATACCCGATCAAAATCAAACTATATTATATCTATGGCAACAAAAATCATAGTATATTTTATAGCATAGATTTCATAAAACAGTCACCCCGATTCATTCCACAGCACTAGCTGCCCAGACTCATCCACCTTTATGCTTTGAAATTAAGAGACTTAATGGCTCCTCTAAGACTTTGTTTCTTTGAAGAATTAGTTTATCTATTGTTATACACAACTTTATTTCAGGAACTGTGTTACTCTACAAAAAGCATTACATGGAGCAATTAAAAACTAACATTAAAATATTAAAAACATAACAAATATATCAATCACCAGCAATGAGATTTAACATAACACACAACACAATGTAAACCTCATTGACAATCAGTTTTAAAAACGTATATACAGTTGAATGCACTCATCCATTAACGCCTGATGACTATTTTCTGAGGTGTCTTTTCCTTTCTGCTTGTTTGTATTTCCATTGCAGAAAAAACATCTCAAGTACAATTTTTATATTAACATTTAAACAGGTATAAAGGTTACAAGGCTCATTGAGTGTTTTAAGCTTTTAAGTTCAGAGACAAGCCAGCTCTGTGATCTCTTCATCAATGAAACCATATCAGAACCCGATAAGTTTAATACTGATAATGTTAAGATCCCTGGAGAGATCCCAGGGAAATTATTCCATTTTGCCAAAGATATTAGCCAGTGATATGCAAGGTTATCAACAATATCGGCCACCTGTGCATCAGTAATATTTGAGAAGTGATTTAATACAGTGTTAGGAGCTTTCATCCAAGCCAAGCTGTAGTGATTACAGACAACACCTGTCTCCGAGTAGGAGTGCTGGAACTAAAAGGCAATTAAAAGGCTTCCTAGTTTAAAATCCATCTTTCATAATTTTTACGCAAGAACATTGTTATAACTTCTTTTCTGCTGTTTGGGCTATCTTTCATTAAATAATACCATTAAGTGATTACAGCAATATTGTTGCAATGGAAAGTTGATTTTTCTTTCTGGTTTAATATTGTCGACTAACAGCTGGTTGTGTGTAGCTGGTGTAACCATGCTTCAAGCACAGTCAGGTTGATGGATTAGGATATAAATCATCTCACCAAGCTTTGCACATCACAATATGTTGCACATGTTAATGCTTTATACGCAATTCCAATGTCATTAAATACGTTGTTGTTTTATTAAAATGATATATCGTTGTCACATGTTCAGAACAGTATACAAACACATGCTCTTGATGAATGTGGAAAGATTTGATTTCGTTGAAAGTGTCTAGAGTCAGATGTAAATAATGATTTCTGATTTTTCTGTCATGGTTGGAAGTGTCTGGAGTCAGATGTTAATAGTGGTACCCGATTTTTCTGTCATGGTTGGAAGTGTCTAGAGTCGGATGTTAAAAGTGGTACGCGATTTTTCTGTCATGGTTGGAAGTGTCTAGAGACGGATGTTAAAAGTGGTTTCTGATTTTACTGTCATGGTTGGAAGTGTCTAGAGTCGGATGTTAAAAGTGGTACCCGATTTTACTGTCATGGTTGGAAGTGTCTAGAGTGGGATGTTAATAGTGGTTTCTGATTTTACTGTCATGGTTGGAAGTGTCTGGAGTCAGATGTTAAAAGTGGTTTCTGATTTTACTGTCATGGTTGGAAGTGTCTGGAGTTGGACGTTAAAAGTGGTTTCTGATTTTTCTGTCATGGTTGGAAGTGTCTAGAGTCGGATGTTAAAAGTGGTTTCTGATTTTACTGTCATGGTTGGAAGTGTCTTGAGTCGGATGTTAAAAGTGGTACCCGATTTTACTGTCATGGTTGGAAGTGTCTGGAGTTGGATGTTAAAAGTGGTTTTTGATTTTACTGTCATGGTTGGAAGTGTCTAGAGTGGGATGTTAATAGTGGTTTCTGATTTTACTGTCATGGTTGGAAGTGTCTGGAGTCGGATGTTAAAAGTGGTTTCTGATTTTACTGTCATGGTTGGAAGTGTCTGGAGTTGGATGTTAAAAGTGGTTTCTGATTTTTCTGTCATGGTTGGAAGTGTCTAGAGTGGGATGTTAAAAGTGGTTTCTGATTTTACTATCATGGTTGGAAGTGTCTGGAGTCGGATGTTAATAGTGGTACCCGATTTTTCTGTCATGGTTGGAAGTGTCTAGAGTGGGATGTTAAAAGTGGTTTCTGATTTTTCTGTCATGGTTGGAAGTGTCTAAAGTCGGATGTTAAAAGTAGTTTCTGATTTTTCTGTCATGGTTGGAAGTGTCTGGAGTCGGATGTTAATAGTGGTACCCAAATTTTCTGTCATGGTTGGAAGTGTCTAGAGTCGGATGTTAAAAGTGGTACCCGATTTTTCTGTCATGGTTGGAAGTGTCTGGAGTCGGATGTTAAAAGGGGTATCTGATTTTACTGTCAGGGTTGGAAGTGTCTGGAGTCGGATGTTAATAGTGGTACCCGATTTTTCTGTCATGGTTGGAAGTGTCTAGAGTCGGATGTTAAAAGTGGTACCCGATTTTTCTGTCATGGTTGGAAGTGTCTAGAGTCGGATGTTAAAAGTGGTTTCTGATTTTACTGTCATGGTTGGAAGTGTCTGGAGTCGGATGTTAATAGTGGTACCCGATTTTTCTGTCATGGTTGGAAGTGTCTAGAGTCAGATGTTAAAAGTGGTACCCGATTTTTCTGTCATGGTTGGAAGTGTCTAGAGTCGGATGTTAAAAGTGGTTTCTGATTTTACTTTCATGGTTGGAAGTGTCTGGAGTTGGATGTTAATAGTGGTTTCTGATTTTACTGTCATGGTTGGAGGTGTGCATTCTATTGTTGTGATTAACAAAAATTTGCCAACAGTTTTTGTCATCAATTCATCATTTTTTAATGTGAATGTCAATGTGATGAGAGGCCATCACATGACCTGACACTGACATTTATACAGTTTGTCCCCAGGCTATGAAACTTCATACTCCAATGAACTCGCACAAAGTGTAATTCCTCATTGATATATCTGGCACACCTGTTTATTGTTAGGGAATCTCCAGCTTAAATGTATTTTCACATTGTGTTTACCTGATTAATTAATGTTCTGCAGACAAAATTTCTTTTAAATCTTTCTTTAACAAAAAATAAAATCAATATGATGCATTAACCAAGAAGTTATCACAAGGCTCTGTAGCTCACCCGACAGTAATAACATCACATTGAGAATTCTCAAACAACACAGACACTTTTTTTGCTTTTAATTTATACACGAATAATCGCCCTGGGTGGACAAAGTGACCATGTTGCCGTGGCAGCCATGCTTAAAACTGGCTGAACTAATCGTCCAGGTGAGCTTGAATAGATATCTGACATGCGTCCATATTTACAGGGCTGTCTGATGAAGCACATTGCAGGATGCTGGTGAGATGGCATCTACCATAATCACCCACTGTCAACGAATGCTGCACTCGGGGAATGCCAATTAGACACAAGCTGTTAGATGCATATTAAGCATATGTCTTTTGATTCATCAACAATAGTTTCACACAAACAATGTCACAACATAAACCATAGTGTTTGGCTACAATGTACTGCTACCAACTGATAAAGTTTGTATAGTGACACAAACAAACAAACAAACAAACAAACAAACAAACAAACAAACAAACACATGTTATGTATGCAATGATTTATATGTTATTTACATTTTTTATTTTTTTATTATGACATACTAGTTGAGATTTGATTCCTACTGTACATCAAGTATAATCAGAGTGAGTGAGTGAGTGAGTGAGTGAGTGAGTGAGTGAGTGAGTGAGTGAGTGAGTGAGTGAGTGAGTGAGTGAGTGAGTGAGTGGGTGGGTGGCATGAAAGCCTTAAGTGAAACTGGTCTGAAACAATTACCACTTTGATGAAACCCAAAAGCATGGGTATGGTGCTGACAAACAGAGAATCTGGGACTGGAACCCACAAAGAGATTTCTGCTGCACCTTAGACCCAAATGAATTCTGTGTTAAAGTCACCCTAATTCTGTGTTAAAAATATAACCATTTCCCCCTAAAAAATTAATACATTTACTCAGGCTTTTTTAAACAATTTTTAATCCCTTTCATTTAGACATTACAGGTTTGGTTTAACATGACAAGTACATGGACTTACAATACCACAAGAATGTCTAAAAGTGAGAATTATTTATTTAAAATGTCCGTTTATTGTAGAATTAATATTTACCAGTTTGACTTGAATGTTGAATGTTTGGGCATCATTTGATTGAAAAATTTGATTGAAAAGCTTGAAAATAATTAAAAATAGTGTATTGATTGATAAAAAAGGCAAATTTCATGACTTTTCTGCAGTAAGTCACATTTTTCTGCAAATTGCAGAAATCATCTGGGACTGATTGATGGAGTGATCACCAACCACACTCGGGGACACACTATCCACACCAAGCTGTCATTGTGGCCACCTGATCCCCAGTCAATCATGACAAGGGACAGCAGGCTAAAAGTATCTCCAAGTACTACATCATTACTGCTTCATGAAATAAGATCTGTTCTGTTTATCAGTTGAGAGTATTCAGCTGTCTGTGCCATCCTCCATATCCTTCACCCATCTTGATACCATCCTCCCATCTTGATAAGTATAGCCTAGATGGATAGATGTTCTAGAAAACCTATCAGTACACCATGTCTCTACATAAGTTAATGTCATTTCACTTTACTATCTTGTGTATACTTATCAGTGAACATGTACATCATGATTATAGATAATGATATCATTTGTGACATCAATTAAATCAGAGCTGCCAAGATGAGGCTGAGTGACAAAGGGATTGTGTATCATAATCATGTTATGCTCTTCCTTCCACACTTTGTTTAAAAACCAATGTGTAATACACACTGATACAGTCACGTTGACTTTATAGACTAGAATTTATATGTATGAAAAGATGTACACTTCTTGAATACCATGTACCACAATTTTACTGACATGATATGTATATATATGCTGTACCTGCTGAGATGCATAAAGAAGGAAAGAAAAAAAAATATCTAAAAAAATATAAAAAATTACAAATAATAATGTTATGTTTGAAAAAACTCTTTTCTTTAGTTCTTTATTAGACGTTCATTGTGCCAGAGAATATATGCATTTGATAATTTGATTTAACAGGTGTATTAAATTTTCACAACAAATATGACAAAAATATTCATTTTTAGCTGGTAGATACAAGTCAGCCAACTAAATATATATAATATGGTTATGAAGTAAATATTTTAGCTTAGATTATGACTATATGATTATAGCAATTTCCTTTTCACTGAAAAAGAAAGTCTTGTGTGAAATTATCTCATATTGTTACATTGACTTTCCTTTGCATGTGTTTGTGATGGAAGCTACCAGTGGGACAGGATATGCTTCAACCTTTTCGCCAACATCTGGTATCATTGCTATTTGGTAGCGATTCATAAACATTTGCTCATAAAACAGTCAGAATCATACAATTGGAATCTGCTTTTAATACATTTCTTATGAACATGGAAGTGTGTTGGTGGCATCCACCTACTTCTGAAGATATGCAAATGCTTCACAACCAATGAACTTTATACAAGCACTTCCAGTGAAACTAAAACCAAATCTTGACTAAATCTGACAATCTGGATGAACCCAGTGATCAAGGCCTATCTGAATAAGAATAACAACCGAAGGTAATATATAAAAGCGACAAAATACGTTTCCAAAATCATAAGAAATCTCCACTAAAAGCAGAGTATATTGTCCACTACGGACTACATCATAAGGTTTTGTTCATGAATCACTATGAACTGGTGACAATCGTGAAGATCATGATTAAATATTAAAGCTAAACATTTGTTTAGAGGGCCTAAGTCGTCTGTCTTACAGATCCTGATACCGGGTACACATATATCAAATACAGCCCATGCAAGTCTATAATGTTTGGCAAGTCTAGATTACTGCAGTATTGGAAAATGGAGAGAGTCTATGGGCTCCTTTTTATTATATTTTTATTAAGATAATTTAACGACTGTTTTTTTCTGCACAATATGTTCATTTCAGTTGCTCATGTTTTAGTCTTGGTCTAAATGTTGCAGCTCGTGGATTGTGTGAAAATGGAACATTGTTTCTACATAATTAAGGGTACTGGTAATCATTAACTGCAAAAGCTATGACAGATTCACCATAGCCATAGGAAAACATCTTTAGCTTCCTTAACTTCTTTTGAGTAGCATATATCATAATGTTTGACTTATCAGTCAAGCAACAGTATATTCTTAACCACTTTAATTTAAACTGTTAACTTAATAAAACTGACAATCTGCTGAACCTAGTATTTTGGGCATTTAAAATGAATTTGGTTTTCACAAGATCAATATCATGTATATTTTCTTCTTCTCCCTGATCTTTTGCTACTGTTGTCTTAGAGAAAGAAAATAAAAGTTAACACTATAGAAAAGCATGCTCCGGTCCCATTGAAATGTGTTAAGAGTTTTACACTCTGGGGAAAAAAGTGTGTTGGGGCAAAAAATGGGTGAATGATTGAGTTTGGTATAACACTGCTTTGAACAGTATTTCAGTTATATCACTGCATGTCAACTTGATGTGAGCGGAAGGGATGAAGTGATGCACTTCCATGAAACCATCAAAAATAGACATGGTGCACACATACCTAGAAGGTGAGGTGAAATGGGGTTTAACGTCACGTCCAAGATTATTGCACCTCTGTAGCGATGTGCATGTATGTGTGTGTGTGGCTGCTAGTACTAGTCCGGACTAATGACGATTTATAGTGCTAGCCCACTGAGATACCATGCTGCAGTTGAACATGAATACCCCACTCAGACACAGTATACTGACTCCAAGATGACCACTACTTGTTTTTGTCATTAATGCCGAGCACCAGACAGGGTAAGAACAAGTACCATCTTTTAACGTCTTTAGGTATGACGCAACCGGGGAACGAACCCCGAGGCTTCCATTCTCCGTGCGGATGCTCTACCACTGGACCACGGAGGCAGTCTACATACCTAGAAACAATCAGGGTGAATCTGGGATTTGAACCCATGATTACAGGTGTCTGGTATGTATCAGGGAGCTGGCATTGAGGGATCCATCCACTCCTTACATACCCTGATATGGCCAGTGTTCAGGTCCATATTTACACACAAGGTCATGCTAAATCATGAACAATAAAAACAGCAAGGCAAAAAGAACATTTACAGTGTCAACAAACATATTTGAACCTTAAATGTGATTTAACATTTTATTATTTTCCTATTTGTCTTAAGAAGATTCACATTAATATATTTCAAACATACCCAGACTAACTTTCCCCAAAAGTAGAGAAATGTAATTTCAAGACCAGTAATGCATAATACCCTTGGGGAATTATTCTAGCCTTACTTGTAAATACATAAAAAAAACATGAGTGAGATCAATAGAGAGATATTTATTCAAGGTACTGTCAATAATTCACAATGTGATGGAGTAACCAGCCATAAGCTGACAGGCTAGAAATTGAAACAGCCCAGAAAGTTATATGCATAAGAGTACTGTGTAATGTGGATACAATTTTCAAAACATTGTCATGATAATTATCATTTTGAATTCCCATATAGCCATGGATACAGTGAGTAAAACATTTGCATGATCACACATTCCAGCTAATCAAAATGGACATGGTCTTCTTTCAGCTTGGGTGGTTAGTTGGAAACAGAAATTATAACATAACCTGTGAACTTACCTCTTGTGATAAAAACGGGATGACTTGGGCACAAATTGCATTTAGTCTTTTCGCTATTTCAGTCTGAAAGCAAATATTGAATAAAAGTATTAACAATTCACTCACAGATCTAAGATTTCATTAAAAAAACATTGATGGAAAAAGACCAAAAAAATCCCCACTCATAATAACTGTAATCCATCACTGCCTTCATCCATATTTATAGGCCCTTTACTCCCAGGAATATTTCTTCTTTCCTGACTGTCACGACTTTATTAGATCAAACGAGAAAATTAAACAGGAAAAAACACAATAGTGTGTTTGGAATACAACAGACCCAAAAACAAGTTATTGCTTTTTCATTTTTTAAAGCAGAGAAAATCCAGTATGCATAAACTTGTGTGTCTGAGCCATTCAGCTGACTGGCCAGCTCAGATATACACAAGTCTATTATATTGTGAATTTAAAGTGCTTCATATCCTCAGGAAAACAACAGCGCAGTTTCGGTTTTAGAAGGAGGCTGTCAAAACTTGAATTACTTCTTGAAGGTAACGTGGGTAGTAATTTTGATCTTCCATATGCATTCAGTAATTATCCTACAGAGAAGAACCATATATTTTATACAATCCTTTAGAGAGAAAAAGACAACTGATTTTTCTTCATTCATGTAAATTCTTCTTTTTATTCATTAATAAACATATATATTCTTACTGCAATAAAGACATAAAAATCAGATTTAAGAAACAGAATTTAAAGTACAAAATGAAATGCCATATGAATTGAAATTTACATACTAAAAAGTAATATTTCAATATGGCTATCAAGTATCATTTTTTGACTGTAGTGTATGTGAATAACCTGCCCACACCAACAGTGTATGTTTAAGAGTACAACAAGATCATGTTGACTCTTTGAATATTACGTCACACATTATTGCATGAAGTACAGATGTAATAAACTTTATTTTTTAGAAAGGTTCCTAATTACAAATAAAAGTATAGAACCTATAAGTTTGGAGTATATTATTAAGTTTATGTAATGATAAACACAGAAAATGTCTTCTTGCATCTTTTCTCCATCCAGACCTTTTGTGGGTGTATTCTAAACACCCATCATGATGGCAGTGTCTCATCTGTGCCTCGCTCCTCTATTCATGTTTGATTGGCTGAGACAGACTGGCTGCACAAACTACAAGCTGACTAATCCCAAGACTGCTTGTCTCAGGTTTGTACTTATGAATGTTTTATGACATTTTATTTGTGTACATTAAAACTTGTGTAACTGATATCCCATCCTCACTGAATACAATATTATCACATTTTAGAAAATCTTAAATATTTAAGTGATTTTTTGTCTTAAATGATTTGCATTTTTACCTTTTGAAATGAAAATAATACCTATAAACTATTCAGTGATAATATGAATATATCTCATAAAATAATTACCATGGCAACATTTCAGAATCCTGCAATGTGATTGGACCTCAAGCAGTATCAGTATGGATTTATGCTGTTTTTACCAATATTGCAAGAACGGGACTTAAACTGAACCCAATTGGTAAATCGAACACAGTTCTTGAGAGTGACGAGCCAATATCAAGCACTAGGCTATACAGCTGCCCTTAAAGTATCTAAAGAATAATGAACTACTGCTATCCACTTAAAGAACTCCAACATACCACACAGTCTCGGAGTTCTTACATCCAATTCTCCACACTGCTATGATCTTGCTTAGGAAAGATTCAATGGCAGAACTATCATCCCACATTGTTCCATGCCAGATTGAATGAGTGAGTGAGTTTGGTTTTACGCCGCTTTTAGCAATATTCCAGCGATATCACGGCTGGGGCACCAGAAATGGGCTTCACACATTGTACCCATGTCGGGAATCGAACCCGGGTCTTCGGAGTGACGAGCAAACGCTTTAACCACTAGGCTACCCGACCGCCCCTCCATTCCAGATTGAAGCAAATGAGGTCTCAGCATGCATTTTTCATGCACTGAATCATTTGAAACGTTTGCTTGTAATAAACATAGACAAAACTTCCACTGCAGTAATCAGTCAAATACTCGAAAGCATAGTCGATAAACCTTGTTCCCAGTATAAATGAAACGTTGATCTGCTTTTATAATTATTAAGACAATTTCACATTTTCAACCTTTTGAATTCACAAAAATACTCCACCAAAGTATTAATTTAAAAAGTCACAATTTTTGCAAGGTATTTATTGTACTGAACATTATGCCTTTCATCTTTTACTTTCTAAAACAAATATAGGCAGTCTCCAACTTAAAAACCCAGTTTTGTAGTTGAAATGAATTTGTGAATTTGGCCAATATATGCAGCCTTTGCTTTTATTCTAAAATGCATAATTTAATCTCTTCGTTAAATTGCCTTTTCCTTTTTTACATTTGCCTAGTTCAATTTGTGGTAAATCTTCAATCTACATGTATGGCTATTTGATCTAGAACTCGGGAGATTTGCAATTCTATGGCAGATGATGGCCATAACTTTGTCTCTCTATCATAGAACGTACTCAGCGAGTAATCTAATTTTCTCGTTCTGTGCATCTCCTCAAGTACATCGCGTGGTCGAGACAGATATCATTTATTCTGCAATATTCAAATAGAAAACATTTGCTCCCTCTCCAGACGATCTTCTTTCACACCATTTATTCTGTGCGTAATCCATAGCATTGTGATTCCGAGCAATAGCCTTTCCTGACGTTTCGGTCAGACCTGGTCCCCAAGCGTGCCATCTCTAACAGAATTACTTTTCTGCTGAAATCCCCCTTCTCCAAACCAATCAATCATGTGGTGTAGAAGGCAAGCTATTCTTCCAAATCCCACGTCAAAATCCCACTTAAGCATCCCAATATGGGCCAAGCATTGCGAAGCACCATGCTGTTTCTCTGTAAGGTGACCATCGAAGTAACATTTGACAGTGTGCCAGAGAAAACTATTATTTGATCAAGTGGGGGAAAATGTACAGTGTAGTGTTTATTTCAGAGTTCGGTAATCAAGTGTGCACATCCCATTTGATGATGTATTAATTCAGTTTGGATTCTGTTTGGGGACAATAAATGATCAATCTATTCTGAACTTCACAAACAATCACCGTGACAACCAGAATGTGTGGGTAGGTTCGTTTGGTCCTTGGTGGTAAACGAGTGAGTGGGGCTTTATCCAATATTCTGCATCATTGGAATAAGTACCGGTGAAGGAATTAACGTAGTGTTGAAGGTGTGTGTGTAGGTCAGAGGTTAAAGGAATTTATGTCATGTTCAGGTGAGGTTAAAGGAATTAACGTCATGTTGAAGGTGTGTGTGTGTAGGTGAGGGTAAAGGAATTAATGTCATGTTGAAGTTGTGTGTAGGCGAGGGTAAAGGAATTAACGTAGTGTTGAAGGTGTGTGTAGGTGAGGTTAAAGGAATTAACATCGTGATGAAGGTGTGTGTAGGCGAGGGTAAAAGAATTAACGTAGTGTTGAAGGTGTGTGTAGGTGAGGTTAAAGGAAATAACGTAGTGTTGAAAGGTGTGTGTAGGTGAGGTTAAAGGAATTAACGTAGTGTTGAAGTTGTGTGTAGGTGAGGTTAAAAGAATTAACGTAGTGCTGAAGGTGTGTGTAGGTGAGGTTAAAGGAATTAACGTAGTGTTGAAGGTGTGTGTAGGTGAGGTTAAAGGAATTAACGTAGTGTTGAAGTTGTGTGTAGGTGAGGTTAAAGGAATTAATGTCATGTTGAAGGTGTGTGTGTAGGTGAGGTTAAAGGAATTTATGTCATGTTGAAGGTGTGTGTAGGTGAGGTTAAAGGAATCAATGTGACGTTGAAGGTGTGTGTAGGTGAGGTTAAAGGAATTAACGTAGTGTTGAAGGTGTGTTTGTAGGTGAGGTTAAAGGAATTAATGTCATGTTGAAGGTGTGTGTAGGTGAGGTTAAAGGAATTAACATCATGTTGAAGGTGTGTGTGTGTAGGTGAGGTTAAAGGAATTAACGTAGTGTTGAAGGTGTGTGTAGGTGAGGTTAAAGGAATTAACCTCGTGATGAAGGCGTGTGTAGGCGAGGGTAAGGAATTAACGTAGTGTTGAAGGTGTGTGTAGGTGAGGTTAAAGGAATTAACGTAGTGTTGAAGGTGTGTGTAGGTGAGGTTAAAGGAATTAACATTGCGGGTGTGAGTGCACCCGACTCAGACACAGCACACTGACTCTGAGTCGACTTGTCCTTGTTTTATCCCATTTATGCCAAGCATCAAGTACCATCTTTTCACATCTTTTCATACGAAGTGGCCGAGGATCAAACCGCTGGCCATGTGCTTTCCCATCACAGTATTATCTCCATGGGAGTTAATGCCAACTTCAAATGCTCTGTTTACTAATCCCAAGTTGGCTGAACAATTGACTTGCCTTTACATGTGTTTGCACCGGTGGTGCAGGATAAGCTTACCTTTTTGCAAACACCTGATATACGTTGAATGTAATTTCAACTCCCAGCACCCAATTAGCTCTCTCCATTGCCTACCAAATCCTTTCCCATTTTTTGGAATTTCAAGAAAACAAAATATTTCCTTTCTGCTGTACTTTGTCTTGTGCTTTTTTGTCATCATAAAGTATTCAGGAGCTTACTGTTAAAACAAAGTTTTTAACATGAGACCACTCTTTGAAACTTACGTTCCATTGGCGCTTTATACATCAAATACATTACCATTATTTGTTTTCTTGGTTCGTCAACATCAAAGGCATAAAATTTGCTTTTTTTTCAACCTTGAGTATGATCACATCACTTTCAAGAAACACATCGGAAGATATGGATTTATCTCCCTTTGGTACGAAATGTGATCACAGTAATGCTGTTTGGGCAAGCTATTATGCCGTCCCCAATGCCTCCCATGTCTATCGGTAGACATCCCATAAATGTCACAAACCAAGCGCGCTAATCTGTGATCGGTTAAAACCTGTGGGTATCCTCTTCATGCAAACCGCTAGACAATATCAAATAAAACTCTACTTGGGCCCGTAACGATGGGTTAGACATGTGACTTGTGCTATCTTTGATTGGACGTTCCTAACAACACCGAGGTAAAAGATTGA